CCAAGATATCTTGGGATGATTATCTTGGCCAAATATCCCGCTAATTGCAATTTCGGGCATATAAAGATGCAAATCAACTGGATAATTTGCGATCGGGATAGTTCAAATAGCGAGTTATTTGGCAATCTCAAGCTGATGAGGACAGGCCTAGATACATGTATCTTAAGAAGGTCAGCCTAGCCCTTGCAGCATTCTCCATGTCAGCTAGGCTCATGGATGAGCAAGCATGCTCGGGACAGATTATTTACAGGTGTCTTCACCGAATGGCTGTAACATTAGATCTGCTCACATGACCACATGGCCACATCTATATCTGTACATACAAAGTACATGCACAAGCCTGCATGTTGTACATCTTTACAGGTGATAACTACCCGAAGCGCACTGTCACTTTGCTGATTTTGCAATTATATTTTATTTTATTGAAACAGTGACAGAAATAAGCGATGAGCAATAACACTCTGGTCTCTGGAAGCTGTACAGCTCTGGTAATCTTAAACAGAGCTGTAGTACTAGCAGAAAAATAAATAAACAGAGATGTACATATGCAGAACACAATAAAATTGCTGTAACAAAATATAATTATTCTTATCTTAAAACAACTTGGGGACCGCAAACAATCATTGATGGATACAGACCTACATGTACACACATCTACATGTATATGCACAAACCGACCGTACATGCTTTTGGAGAGTTACCTGTAAATATCACTGTTTTTCTTACTTCAAAGGGTTTATTTTATTCCCTACATAAGAATTAAATTTCAAGGTGAACAATATACTAAATCAGATTAAGAATACATTAGCCAGGCTCAATCTACACATATTTTGAGGTTGACTAGTAATAACTATTGAGCATTTTTCTCTACTACTGAAATTATCAAACAAAAGTCTGGATTCATAGAATATAAAATTACACCCTTTCAAAGACTTGAAACCCAATTCAATACATGCATCTAAATTTAGATTTTCTACACAATGCCTTGATTCACAAACAGAAACTACTCAGACGATGATAGCGCTAATGATGTTTTGATAGGGTGTGGTCAGAGTCTTAACACTGAAATTCACATGACCATTACTCATCCCAAGATGAGTCATCAAATGCCAGTACAGTGAGTAAAGGGTATTTCCCTTTCCTTGAAAATGCAGCGTGTGAACTGGTCATATGTTTACCTACAGGGTGTTCACAACAAGGTTATATCATTTGAAATCATTTCATCCTTTTTCTAAACGAAATCTGGGTTCTACACAAATCTGCTACCAATACAGAGCTTCACTTCCACACTTATTATTTTCTATTTTTTCTAACTTTGTGCCCCAAAGGCCCCTGTTCAAATGTCAAAACTCTTTGGTCTGGAGTTCAAATCTTGGAGGCTATTATATGTAGGTCTATATTAGTGTCAATCCTAATGCTTCTTCAGGCTTATTCATTATATTGCTTTAATTTAAACATGGGCACCTTCGCTTTCCCTATCTGCGTTAGAAGAATCTAAATCTTTAAAATCAAGTTAGTCAACTGAATTTGTAAACAACATTTTCAGCTTCGATTAAAGGTACAAAGTTTTGGTATGGGGTCATGAATTTGGTTCAAATTAACATATTGGAAGCATATGCGTTCTTACAATATTCATTGATCGTTGTCCCGGTTAAAATCGAGTCTAAAGTTATGAAATTATAAATAATAAACTCTTTATGTTGTATAGCTCCCTCTCAAGGTCAAGATATTAATTTAGCTATGAAACAATGTTTCTTGACTAAAATCGACCGATTAGCTATTCCCGTTTGGAAATTATAAATTCTGAGATTTTCATGGTCGCAGCTACCATTGTACGGCCGTAGGCGCTATTTGAAATTTATCAAAATTTACCGGGAGCACCGGTAAATTTTTATATTCAATTTTTCTCGAAAACAGAAGTATTTTAGGGGTTAATTTTTTTAGTGCGTATAATACATCCACAGCTGGGCATCCAAATATATCAAAATAATAAAGATTCACTATTCACCCAATTTTCAAAATTTCCCAAAACTTTGTATTATCTTTTTACAAGACTAGCACTTCACATATACAGCTTTATGTAGATCCCAGTCAATAAAACATCTTACTTAGAAGAGAGAGAGAGAAAGAAAGAGAGAGAGAGAGAGATAGAGAGAGAGAGAAAGAGAGAGAGAGAGAATAAATAATAAATTTGCCCCCAGGAGTGCTCACTTAAATTTAAACTAATGCAATAAGAGCTTCCGTGAAAGAAAAAAAAGAAATATTGCTATGTCACAGTCAAGGCGTGTGTTGAAATGCAGTGCCCGTATTGCCTAGTTGATAGTGCAATTAAAATATCCATTACAATAGTGACAGCATTTTCATAATAAATTGCTGTTCTGTTAGCAATGCAGCTCCATGATTAAAACATTGAAACCAATCGAACATTTATTGCTCAAAATACACGGGGGCGGTGGGCGATTCGCCCCCGTGAGCCCCACAATCGCCCCCGTCAGATGGTTCACGAGGGCGATTGCAAAATTAAAAATCGCCCCCGTGGAATTATAAAATAAAAGATTATCTTTTCTGATATAACTTTAACACAATATTGAGTATCAATTTTCAAACCTTAAACAAATAAAATGGAACTAATTAGATGGCGCTTTCTCTCCCATCTCTATGAGTATTACCGATACAAACAACAGAGCTCGCAGTGCAGCTGTAGTGCGGCCGTCAGCAATGGCTATACTGCGCCGGTAGTACCGGTGTGCACGCTGACGCCCAATATATTGGAGCTGGAGACGATCGCGCAAGGACTGAAACATGGAGAAATTTTTCGTTGTGAAAAGTGTGAATCCTCTGAAATCTGGTTATTCTAATAGATCAGCAAATAATGTAACTTGACCAGTAAATCAATATTGAGAAGAAGATCACCAAAGATGTTGCAGGGGCGGATTTAGGCGGTTTAGGGGTTTAACCACCCCCCCCCCCTCCCCCTTGGGCTGCCGAGTGAAAATGTGTTGTGCATAGAAAAATGCTATCATGTGTCATTGTGTCCAGACCTACACAGTATTAGTAGATGTCAGTAGATGCCAGGAAAACATCACTAACGGGGGTTCAAAATAGCGCCAAAAAATCGCCTCGCCGCTTTGCGGCTCGTCGACGATGCTCCGCATGTTAGTAGATGCCAGGAAAACATCACTAACGGGGGTTCAAAATAGCGCCAAAAAATCGCCTCGCCGCTTTGCGGCTCGTCGACGATGCTCCGCATGTTAGTAGATGCCAGGAACACATCAATTACGGGAGTTCAAAATAGCAACAACAAAAATCGCCTCGCCGCTACGCGGCTCGTGGACGATGCTCCACATCGTATCTGGGTTACCCCCCCCCCCCCATCCTTAGCAAAAAGCTAGATCTGCCCCTGTGTTTTGGAAGGATATGGTAAAAACCAAAAGTAAAGAAAGAATGTAAATAAGGTTGCTCCAAATAATGAGGAGGACATTATGTGCAGAGCGGGAAGAAATGGAGAGAATGTCATTACGGAGATAAAAGTCAATAACAGCTATGTAACAAGTACATTTCTAAGAGGGAAAATGCCGACTTAAATAAATGATAATGATAAAATACCAAGGAATTTAGGAGTTTCATGGGTACCAATTCAATGAAAATTTGTATTAAAAAAAGAGCCCCCGTCGGTACTAAAAGAGCCCCCGTGAGAGAGCTCACGGGGGCTCTTTTTTTTTTGGAAGAGCCCCCGTGGACAAAAATTAATTTGAGCCTTGGGTCCATATACGTTACATCTAAAAAATAAAAGGCATAATGTATGCACAAGTCATACAAGTAATACAAATAATAAAAGGAGAGTGAAAGTTACATACATGTATTGTACCCTGTACAATTGTTTCTAATTACAATAAGTTTAGACAAGATCTTACGAGGATACAATTTATATTCATTTTTAGTAATGTGTAATGACCAAGGAAATATGAAAGTCATCTTCAAATTGATCTATATATAAACATCTCTGGGCTATTTTGTTTTCCTTTGGGGAGGGGGAGGGGGGATCTGCCAAATGCCAATTGGTTAATATACAGAATCATTGTCTACATGTACTTGCTAAAGCAAAGATAAAAAATTATCAAGTACTCAATCCCACATGACATGGAACAAACAAACAGCCTAACAAAGAAATAAAACAGAGTAAAATACCACACTACACTAATAGAAGTACACTTCACATATCTGTATCTTGTATCAGAGTGCTTTATAATAGTGACCTTTAAAAGAGAACAGGTAATTTATTTTTTCACCTCCAGGCTCCAGTTGTCCTTCATCTGCACATTTTGCCTTGGTACTTTTCTCCTTCTTTTTCAACAGTTCATCACGTCAAGTACATGTTTGAACAGGACTCTTATCTTGGCTCATTTACTGTGCATGTACACAGCTTTAAACTTCACAATTCACAATCTCCTGATATATTTTCTGTTTATTCATTGAAAATGAGTCCATTAGAAATATAAATGTAGGAAAACAAAGGGTAGTACTTCTCCACGCACATGCAAATTGTAAATTGTAAATTGTGTACGCTGTAACTTTCTGCTTAAATTGCAAAAAATATTGCTAGGATTGCACATTTGGCCATTTCAAAAGTCAGCAGCCAACAGAATACCACTATATCATACAAAGAACACATTCCTGAGAGAAATAAAACTTATGAATGGATGTACTCTGCCAGTATTCATTCACTCATGAGGTTGTGAAAAACACATGCTGTACATACAGTACATGTACATGTATACATTTGTATGAAAAATTATTTTTGGGGCATTACATAAAAACACTATATCAATTTGTGTGTATCATACAGGTTTAAATATTTGGCTAAATGTTCTCAAGAGGTCAAAATTAGAAATGGCATTTATGCTTGAGTGGCAAAAATGCAGGAAATCTGTATAAACCTAGCTTTGCATGGATTATATTTAAGTGGACTACAGTTTGGATGTAATCCCTTGCTATCTTACCTGTGTTAGTTTCCTTGACAAATCATTGGTGAGATACTCCTCTTCCTGTTCATAATTAACAGCAAGTTTCTCTTTCTCTTTCTTCAGCGAGTGGATCTTTTTCATCAACGTGTTGCTAATGTATTCCTCCTCTTGCTCTGCTTGTGCTTGCTAAAAATAGAAAAAAAACGAAATGGAACTTGAGTAACAATAATAATAATGACGATAAAAACAACAGCAACAACAACAATAATAATAATAAGCTTCTGATAAATTGCATAATAGTTAATACTTAACCCTTTCAGAACTGGGGTAATTGTGGTGGGGGAGGGAACTAAATTGGTCTGTTTGGTCACATGTTGTTCTTCAAATTGGCAAAAAATAATATATAATTTATTTTACGCTCCATTTTTAAAATAAAATGTTATGTCTCTTAAAAACATGATGGTAGAGAAAAAAAATGAAATGATTTTGAAATTGTCAACATGCTGCCATTTTAAAGGATTTTCAAGCTTACATGTATTTTCCTTTTAAAAATTCCTAGCATTCAAATGCAATATACGCTGTAATAATGATACATAAATGGATGCAGCATGTGCAGATTTTTTTTTTCATTTTCTACTCATGTATGTGTGGTATATTTTTGAAGGCTCTGAATAAAAAATTATTGAGCAAAACCACAAAAGATATAATGTGCATTAATATTGCATAGATCTAGATCTACAGTACATGTACACTCCTGTACAGTAGTTTCTTCTTTTTTTTCAAAGTGTAAAACAAAACCATAAAGTTGATAGTGGGCAATTTTACAACTAATGGCTCTCGATATCATGGCGTGGGAGACTTTCAGAAAAGGCTGTTGATAAGTTCTTTCGTCAAAAGAACACTAATGGGGAATGAAGCAAAAATGAAGGAAAAGACAAGGTATAAGTAGACTAGTAGGTCTAGATCTACATGTAATAGAAACAGAAAGAAAAAAAGGATAAAACAAATTATCATGACATCATATCATAATGTATGAAATTCAAAACTGACATCAGCCTTTAGTTTAGGCTTTAAGTTTAGGCTCAATTTAGTTTCAAAGTTTATTTTCGTCCTAGACCTAGACTCTATTTCTATTCATAGTGTTTCTACACCAAAATGACTAAAAAAAGAAAAGGAAAATAGGAAATAGTCTAAGGTATGAAAAAGTTTGGACTCTTTGGAAGCAATCAGGCAAGTCATATCAGTCTTTTTATTAATGGTACATAAATCGGCGCTAGTGTAGTTGCGTATCCATTTTTTAGCAGTTTAATATCCATTCTAAATAAGAGAATTTTAACCCAGTTGTTTACTCATTTAAATCATAATCATATAGATTTTCCACCTGAATTTGGATCACATCCAACATCGGGAAGCCTAGATCTACGTTTAGGGCTTCGATGTCGACGTCGTTGCTCAGTACCGTCTCTACACTGTAGTCCTGCACCTCAAACTGAAGCTATCAGTCCAAAATTATGCAAACTTCTCGTATGGTTTATGGTATCGTGGATGCTCGTAATACATAAACCATTCGAGAAGTCTGCATATTTTTGGACTGATAGCTTCAGTTTGAAGTGCGGAGCTATAGCGTAGAGACGGTACTGAGCGACGACGTCGACATCCAAGCCCTAAACGGAGGCTTCCTGATGTCGGATGTGATCCAAATTCAGGTGGAAATTGCGATAGACCCTAGTCTATATGATTATGATTAAAATGAGTAAAAAATTGGGCTAAAACTCCTTTGCTAATGATGGATATTAAGCTGCTAACAAAATGGATACGGAACTACACTAGCGCCCATAAATCATTATGGAAAAATACAAGTCACGAAGGACAAAGATAATGAATCTAGGGTCTATTCTTGCTAAAAATGTAGAAACAAAAAGCATAAACAGGATTCATATAAAAGAAAGATTGCCATTAATGCCTTTACAAACCCAAGACGATCATAAGTCATGACACATACTGGTACTGGCGGTAGTCAGTTAAATGATAACACTCAAACACCTTTTCTAACCAAAACTCTAAAAAAATAAGGCATGAGATATTTATTATTGCTGTCGTTCCGATGCAGGATCCTGCATGGAACGATCGGCGCCGATTTGGTACGCGCACTTTGCCTGACTGCAGTCTCCAAATTTAATTATCAAATTGAAATCGTCGCGACGCAAGAGGACGAATTTGGTACGCGCACTTTGCCTGACTGCAGTCTCCAAATTTAATTATTAGTTTGAAATCATCGCGACGCAGGAGGACGAATTTCAGTGCGCACATGCACAGCAATCATAAAAGGATGCGCTAGCTGAAGACACAGCGCGGCCGCTACGTACTCTCAGCCTAGCTAGCCACGTTGGCTATCTCCGCGCATGGTATAGGCGCAAGCCAAATGGAGTGAGCGAGCTAGAGCGTTGGAATTGCAGAGCAATGTGATTGAGATTATTCCTGATTAGTTTTTATTACAAGCTATAGATCGATGGGTTTTACAATAGTGAAGTTTGTTTGCTAACAATTTAATTTCAAGCTATAGATCTAAGTATGCAAAATATAAATTGCTTGGGTTTTATCAACACATTCCATGATAAATCTAACCTCCATTCTGTCCACGACCTCGTGTAAAAAAGACGTATCGACACGTAAATCTTGACCCATTAAAATCTAAACCTTTTGTTTATGTTTGGCTGAGAGGTATATTGCGCAATTCTGAACTGGAGTTCTATTTTGAGATTTGAATGCGAGGAGACAAAATGCCGCCCATTTGAACCCTTGAACTTTGTTTGAACAAAGGCCCTGCGCGCAATTCCTTGGGTGTTGATAAACAAACATGAGAAAAGATGGAGACAAGAGAGAGGGAGAGGAAGGGGTACACTTGGAAGATGGAGGGAGGGAAAGAGCGAGAGAATAGATTCATGGGGAAATTAAGTCTACGAGAGTCAAAATCGGGATAGATGTGAAAATCAATTGTTAATAAAGACGATAAAGTATCAAGTTATTTATTTAATACCCATGATTCTTTTTATAAAATTCTAATCGTAATAATGCGAAACTAATCTTGTCTAGTGTTCCTATTATTTAGACAGTCATTTTGAGCTCCTCGATCTATTCGCGGTGTAGGCCTATTTTGTTGCTTGTTTGTGTGTTTGTGTGGTTGTGATGTGCCTGTTTGAATTAGGCCCTACTTGTCATGTCATGTCGGTTATTTTTTTCGAAAATTGAAGCAATGATACAAAATTTTGATTATAAAATTCAGCAATTTTATTAAAAATTGTTACGATCGATATGATTGAGGAGTCTTAAGTTCGCAATGCTAAGATCACGATACCAGTCATGACTCATGATAGCGAATTATCTCAGTGGTGATTTTAGAATTAAATCCCTTTTCTGCAGTATTTTAATGAATAGTCAAATATGGATCTCTGTTTAGTGACAATAAATATTCATTAAATTATTACACAAAGAAAACGATTCGTTGTACCGTTCTCGACTATTAATGTCCACCCCCCCCCCTCCTCCCCTCCAGCCGCAGCGTAGGAGCTTTGACATTTCATTAAATTACTAGAGAAAGAAGACGATTCGTTGTACCGTTCTCGATTATTAATCCTTGTCTGATTTCAGTCCCCCCCCCCCTCCAGTGCGAAGCGTGGAAGTATGATCATTAAATTATTAGAGAAAGAACTCGATTCGTTGTACCGTTCTTGACTCTTAATCCTTGTCTGAATTCAGTCCCCCCCCCCCCCCGTCCCGTGCGGAAGCTTTGACATTTCATTACATTTTTAAAGAAGGAAGACGATTCGTAGTACAGTTCTTGACTCTTAATCCTTGTCTGAATTCAGCCCCACCCCCCCCCCCCCCCGTCCCGTGCGGAAGCTTTGCGGTTTCATGAAATTTTTAGAGAAAGAAGACGATTCGTAGTACCGTTCTTGACTCTTAATCCTTGTCTGAATTCAGCCCCCCCCCCCTCCTCCTGCGCGAAGCTTTGACGTTTCATTAAATTACTAGAGAAAGAAGACGATTGGCGTTGTATACCGTTCTCGATTATTAATCCTTGTATCAATTCAGCCCCCACCCCCCCCCCCCCCCCCCCCCCCCCCCCCCCGTGCGGAAGCTTTGACATTTCATGAAATTATTAGAGAAAGAAGACGATTCGTTGTACCGATCTTGACTCTTAATCCTTGTCTGAATTCAGTCCACCCCCCCCCCCCCCCGTCCCGCGCGGAAGATATGACATTTCCTTCAATATTAGAGAAAGAAGACGATTTCTCGACTATTAATGCTTATCTAAATTCAGTCCCCCCCCCCCCTCTCGTCCCGTGCGGAAGCTTTGACATAATCATTAAATTACTAGAGAAAGAAGACGATTTCTCGACTATTAATGCTTATCTAAATTCAGTCCCCCCCCCCCATCCAAGGCGGAAATATGACATTTCGGAAATTATTAGAGAAAGAAGACGATTTGTGTACCGTTCTCGACTATTAATGCTTATCTAAATTCAGTCCCCCACTCCCCTCCAGCGCGAAGCGTGGAAGCTTTGACATTTCATTAAATTACTAGAGAAAGAAGACGATTCGTTGTACCGTTCTTGACTCTTAATCCTTGTTTGAATTTAGTCCCCCCCCCCCCCCCCCGTCCCGTGCGGAAGCTTTGACATCAATAAATTACTAGAGAAAGCAGACGATTCGTTGTACCGTTCTCGATTATTAATCCTTGTCTGAATTCAGTCCCCCCCCCCCCTCCAGTGCGAAGCGTGGAAGCTTTGACACTTCCTTAAATTATTAGAGAAAGAAGACGATTCGTTGTACCGATCTTGACTCTTAATCCTTGTCTGAATTCAGTCCACCCCCCCCCCCCCCCGTCCCGCGCGGAAGATATGACATTTCCTTCAATATTAGAGAAAGAAGACGATTTCTCGACTATTAATGCTTATCTAAATTCAGTCCCCCCCCCCTCTCGTCCCGTGCGGAAGCTTTGACATAATCATTAAATTACTAGAGAAAGAAGACGATTTCTCGACTATTAATGCTTATCTAAATTCAGTCCCCCCCCCCCCCCCCCCCCATCCAAGGTGGAAATATGACATTTCGGAAATTATTAGAGAAAGAAGACGATTTGTGTACCGTTCTCGACTATTAATGCTTATCTAAATTCAGTCCCCCACTCCCCTCCAGCGCGAAGCGTGGAAGCTTTGACATTTCATTAAATTACTAGAGAAAGAAGACGATTCGTTGTACCGTTCTCGATTATTAATCCTTGTCTGAATTCAGTTTCCCCCCCCCCCTCCAGTGCGAAGCGTGGAAGCTTTGACATGTCATTAAATTATTAAAGAAAGAAGTCGATTCGTTGTACCGTTCTTGACTCTTAATCCTTGTTTGAATTTAGTCCCCGTCCCGTGCGGAAGCTTTGACATCAATAAATTACTAGAGTAAGCAGACGATTCGTTGTACCGTTCTCGATTATTAATCCTTGTCTGAATTCAGTTCCCCCCCCCCCTCCAGTGCGAAGCGTGGAAGCTTTGACATGTCATTAAATTATTAGAGAAAGAAGTCGATTCGTTGTACCGTTCTCGACTCTTAATCCTTGTCTGAATTCAGCCCCCACCCCCCCCCCCCCCCGTCCCATGCGGAAGCTTTGACATTTCCTTAAATTACTAGAGAAAGAAGACGATTCGTTGTACCGTTCTTGACTCTTAATCCTTGTTTGAATTTAGTCCCCCCCCCCCCGTCCCGTGCGGAAGCTTTGATATCAATAAATTACTAGAGAAAGCAGACGATTCGTTGTACCGTTCTCGATTATTAATCCTTGTCTGAATTCAGTTCCCCCCCCCCCCCCCCCCAGTGCGAAGCGTGGAAGCTCTGACATTTCATTAAATTATTAGAGTAAGAAGTTGATTCGTTGTACCGTTCTCGACTATTAATGCTTGTCTGAATGCAGTCCCCCCCCCCCCCACTCCAGCGCGAAGCGTGGAAGCTCTGACATTTCATCACATTATTAGAGAAAGAAGAGGATTCGTTTACATTTATCGACTCTTAATACTTGTCTGAATTTAGTACCCCCCCCCCCCCCCCCCCCCCCCCGCGCGGAAGCTTTGAAAGAATGTTTGGTTGTCCCAAGGACTATCAAAATTCAATATATATAAATTTCTTTCTTCTGTGTACCAGCCTACCAGGTTCGACATTTACTGCTGCAAATTTAAGAAAGAGAAACCAAATTTTCATGGTCTTATATTTAGGATAAAAATTAAGTCTAAATCTGAATATGTAATTGCAGCCAAATATGGCAAGTTAAGCCTCCATTTTAAAAAGTTTATATTTGAGTTGTAGTGGACTATATGATGTTTTTGTCATTTCACATTCCTGTACATGATTGTAAACAGCAAGTTGGCTTTCATGTTATGTTTGAGCACCCAATAAAAAACAAATTTAAAAAAAATTAAAAAATAATCCTTGTCTGAATTCAGTTCCCCCGCCCCCGATCGCAAAAAGTCTCCACGTTCGACAAGAATTCATGGCCTATCCAATGGCCAACAGACTCTTGGGTGTAATTCCTTGTTTATTAGATGAACTAGTTGTAGACAAAACGATAGTAATTATGAATTTGGATTTGCCAAATTGTCATCATAGCTGTGTGCTTTTAACTCGCCCCTTTGAGGTTACGTCAAAAATATAAAATTCGCATACCTGTATAAAAAGGTCATGACTTAAAATATATATTTATATGAAAGGATTCCAAAATTGCGAAAGAAAAAGAAAATGAGGTAGAACATAATATGGTGGCGACTTTTGATTGAAAATATTTCACATCAAAATCCTCCCCCCCCCCCCCCTGGATGGTAATCTCATTGTCATAAAAGTAAGAGGGGTTACACATAGACGTAATACGGGTTACAGCATGGAGATATAAGAAGAGATCTCCATGGTTACAGTACGTGATTACATTTCCCAGACATGTTTTGACAGTTCTTATCTAAGATATATGACACGCCCCAGCCAGCTGAAACCAAGAAGTTACAGGGCTTGTATAGTCTGCCAATTCAGACTTCATACCACTTGGAATACCTCAGGAGAATAAATGACAACTGAAAACAAGCAAACATTTGCTTTCAAAAAATAAACTTTGCAAATTATTATTTAGCCAATGAGAAGACCCTTTTCGAGTAGAAGACAGTTTCATTATGATTTGGATATACAGTAGCACTCCGATAAACTTTTAAAGAAATTAGTCTCAAAGCTGATTATCGATTGGCACAGGCTTGCAATTAACACCGCCCACCAACGTACGCCCAAGCAGTGTGTTGGACATTATCTGAGCACATGTTTTTTTTTGTGTGTGTGGATATAGCGTTGGGTTCAGTTGTGATGACCTAGAAATTCTATCATAACTCCGTCATGTGTGTTCGGATGTAGATTTAGTAGAAATTATTTTGTCGCGTTTATAACCAACGCACAGTTGTAGCAGGGAGGTGTTTTAGAAACTCACATACCCTGGTTGTAGCAGTCTTCTTGGTTGTAGTACAATTTATTTCACTCTGTCATTTTTATAAACAAATTACGCACAGTTGTACTTGTAGCAGTAGAAATTACTTAAACTCTGTCATGCTTGTAAAAAAACGCAGAATTTGTAGTAGAAGTTATTAAACTCCGTCATGTTTATAAACAAACACACGGTCTTAATTAGAACAAATACGTTTAAACTCTGTCATGTTTAAAAACAACCAAATACCGGTAGTTGTAGTAGAAATTATTTTAACTCCATGATTAATCATGTTTATAAACAAACGCATATTTGTAGTAGAAATCATTTTTAAATGTAATGTTTATAAACAAATTACACACATGCAATTGTGGTAGAAATTATATTAACTCCGTGATGCTCATAAACAAACGCACATAATTTGTAGTAGAAGTTATTTAAACTCCGTCATGTAATATAAACAAACACACGGTCTTAGAAGAAATTATTTTAAACTCCGTCATGTTTAAAAACAACCAAACAGTTGTAGTAGAAATTATTTTAACTCCGTCATGTTTATTAACAAACGCACGATTGTACGTAGAAATTATTAGTAAATGTCATGTTTATAAACACACGCACAGCTGTGGTAGAAGTTATTTTAACTCCGACTTGTTTATAATATAGAAATGTCAATGTCGGGACACTCGATACATAATTTTGTGTCGTGCGCATGTACAGTGTACCGGCTTAAACGCTTGCCAGCGCTGCGCGTATAAATATTAAATCAATTCATCCAACTGCAGTCGGACGATTCTCACGCCGTCGCGTTCTGGCGCAGTGTTGTATAATATTTGTACTCCTGTCACTGATCATTGCGCCGATCGTTCTGGAGCGCGCATTGCAGGATCCTGCATCGGAACGACAGCAATAATAAATATCTCATGCCTAAGTCATCTTCTTCAATACAACTTATTCAAGCAAGCCATCCATCTGGCAAAGGTCTTTTCCCAAATTCTAGACCTAGGGTCTAGACTATTTTTTTATTTTGTATTCATTAAATATTTTAGTTAGAATTTAACATGAAAACACAAATGAGCAGAATGCATACATTTACAATTTTAATCATGATCATCTCTTTCGTTCGTTAGCCTCTTAATTTGGGTCAGATTTTTTTGACATTTCTGCCTCGCTTGCGCCATGGCCCATGCCATGCGCCCTATGCTACGGGTGTGCAACAAATGGGATTCCATACAAAACACACGGCAACTCACAATATTGACGCTCGCCTTCCGAAGATCTCGATTTTCGGCCACTAAATTCTTGCATTTTATCTTGTACGTCTCCAATTCCATCTTCAAAACCTTATTTTCCTGCTCCAAACTTGCAATCCTGTTGAAGAGCTCTTCCCTTCTTGGTATGGGGATAGACATCTTGGTACTATCCGTGTCACTTTCAATCTCACTCGCGCTGGCACTGTCCATGTCGGTAGCCATGTTGTTGACTGTGATTATGATCTGTATGCTAATTTTTATCATGAATATTTATAATCCAGACAACTGCTTGAGCACGTGATACTGTAAATAAAATCTCTGAAACCTTATAAAACTAAAGAAAATTTACATATAAACTAAACAACCAGGTCTCTGATTGTGGGGAAAATACATTTGTTAAACCTTTCGTCATGACCAAAATAAATGGATCCAAGCTTTGGAAAGAAACAGGTCAAAACTACATTTTGTTTGTCTAACATGAATAATTCATGAACACGTCATATTTCGTCCACATGCTTCTCTGTTCTCATGCGAGGAACACCTGTTTTTATTAGTCATTCCGTTTTAAACTCACATATCCCTGGTTTTAGTTGACAATAATTGTTAATAGAATGAAAATGAAATGAAATGATATCTGCATTCCAAGGAGGTATGTAAAAACACACTCTGATGGGGCCCCAAAAGAAAGTACACTTCTTTTGACTGAAATTGCAGGGTGATCTTAAGAATTTGTTTTAAAAAAATTTTCATAGATCTAATATACTGGAATATATAATTTTGAGGAGTTAGGTTAGTTAGGGGTAATTTATTATTCAGCTATTCTCTTCTAGCCTTTGAATCCAATATCAAATCAGTTTGATAAAATATTAAAGAGTGAAATGTCAAATTCACTAGGAGGGCAGAATTATCATTTTGAAAATGGAAACTCGTTGGTGTCATGTGTTTTTAAAAATATTTATTTCACTGTTCATCTTTCATTATTGAGCCATCATTGGGGTCGAACGATGCTATTTGAGGAAAACAAGAGATGGCGCTCTTGATCTTTAAGTAGGTACTCTATTGCTGATTACATTGGATCATTGGAATCTTTGCATACCGGTATGCAGACAGTCGACGATTCAGACATGAATCCATATTTTGATTTCTACCTTTCGCTGTTTATAAGTTATGATATATATATATTTTTTTTTTTTTTTTTTTTTTGGGGGGGGGGGCCAGTTGTAATTTGTTACCTTGCACGTGCTTCAAAATTAAATAATTGTCTACTTCTTTCTCCACTAGAAAATTCTGAATACTAGTATATTACTTCCCCATTATAAACTTTCTCGCCAATAAATGCCTACATTTTGGGCAGAGAAATTATCTTCTAGCAGCTCTCTATAATTTCCTCTATTTTTTCGTTCTCATAGGACGTAGAAAATTCATAAACTAATGGTTAACTCCTAACAACATATTGTAACTTTAGTTCTCCCTCCCTTTCTCGTATTCGCTTTCTTTCTTCTCCCCTCTCTCTCCTTCCTCGCTTCATTTCTATCTCTTCAACATGGACTACCCCAAAAGGATAAACACTAATTCTGCAATTATTATTATCTTCATACTGTCTAGTGGCTGTGCGTTCTGTACCATACTCATAGTCTCTTACTAGTATTTTGTTCATTTTGGTTATAAATTTATTCGTTTTTTATTTCATATCATTACCTTTCCATATCATAGATTAATGATAACCATATACACATTGCTATTTAATGACCTATGGTTAGTCCATCATAAACACAACACACATCAATTTTGTTTATTATTAATAAAATCCTTTATTATTCAGGTACATGACAGCTTATTGCTATGCTGCATTTGAATATATATCTCCATATGTACAGCATTACATATAAATCACTGATATTAATAAGTGTAATAAAATCACATGGGGATACCATTTCAAAATACCCCTCAGTAATACAAAAATATTCTGTGGTGCTAAAACTACAAACTACAAATAATTTAAAAAAACTAACCAAGAGAAAAGAAAAAAGAAAATGAATATCTTATCCTACATCATTCATTGCAAACATCTGCAAATGTCTTCATGAATGAAAGAAATACGTAAAGGCAACATTGAGATATGGTGGAGTTCTAAAATGGTAAAATAATGGAAATTATAGCTCCAGAAGATATGAAAAACACGGGAAAGAGGGAAATGAGGGAAACGAGGTCATACTTCATCTGCATTATTACAGATCATTATCAATAGCTAGTCTCAGTGATCACTGAATATTGGAAAGGAATTGAATACACAGCATATTTAGATACTAAACATTGATATTGGTAATCATTATATATCTGTAGTTCTTTCAGATGATATATGATTAAGATGTATCATCAATGGATGTTGAACACTTTGGAAACTTAGATTTTTGGTGAAATAAAACAATAAAAAAGTACTGTTAATACCATTAAGCTATTGCAACCAATCAACTATATAACTCCTAAAGCATGAATACTAGGGCATGAATTTACTTAATTTTTCTGACATAACATTCTATGAGATGTGATAAATATTTATGGGACATTGGAGCTGACTGACAGTCCATAGGCCAAAGTACAAAAAGAGAATCACGAGTACATCTTTACCATACATCTTTCAAAAGGGGAAAAATCCAATATACATTTAAAAATGTATCACACACTACACAGCATATATAAAGTTAAATCACATACATTTCTAGACTGACATTATAGTTACTATATCATTATCAGGGTAATTAATATCATAATAAATAATAAGTTGCTAGTAGTAATACTTAATTCCTATTAAATGCAAATTTCATCATTCCCATTCTAGCACCAATATTATCTTCTCCAATATTCATCCAATTTGTTAGCAATCACTCAACAACAACAACAAAAATTCAGTGACAAGAACAACCAAAATAAAATAATGCATATATATATATATAAATATAATAATATAATACATATCTTATATCAATAACATTCAGTTTTGGTAATCCCCATCATGAAAAGGGCAATAGTTCGGCTTTATAACTTATTGCTTTAAAAAGTGCCCTGTCTATAGTGTGACAGAAGGCTCTGGTTAAAAAACTTTTGAAAACTATTTCTCCCTTTCTGTTATCACCTGTAAAGAATCAAGTATGTACATATAAAACATTAATATAGCCTTAAAAATAAAGCTATTAAAGTCGGGGATGTACATAACAGGTGAACAATTCAAGGAAGTATATAGGGGGAAAGGGTGCAGGAAAAGAGAAAAAGATAGAAGGAAAATATGGGAGGGGAGACAAATATTGTCATGGGAAGATAGGAAAGGCAATGGCAGAGTAAAACTAGATTAGAGAAAGACTGAAAGGAAAGGAAGAATCAAGATATTTCTGATTTCCCTGAGTACTGCATTTTCATTACTAGAAAGTTTCATCTTGAGCCATATTCCTACATCTGTCCATCTGTTATAAAGGTTGGATAATCTGCACAGTCACTCAGACTCTAAATGGAGAAGCTTGTACATCTTATCAAACCTACTGTCCCAGTCCCCCCCCCCCCCCCCCATCCCCACTTTTTCAGGTGGTTCATACTATCTGATTTATGCAGACAGCAAATCACATATGAAAATAGCATCATTAATGCATGAAGATTTCTCACTGTCCGAGTATTCCTGAACAGCACCCATGGATGATAGCATTGGAGTGTTGGCTCAGTCAGTAGAGCGTCCGCCTCACAACCGGGAGGTCGTGGGTTCGAACCCCGGCCGCGTCATACCAAAAGACGTTAAAAGATGGGAGTTGTTGCTACCTTGTTTGACGTTCAACAATAAGGGATAGAGCAACGTCGATCTGGCGCTGCTCAGTGGCTGCCTGGCTCACGATCAATTGGGCAAAAAGAATTTCCGTTTCGGTTTAATAAAATTTGGAGTGGACTATTAGGCTATTATTATTATTATTATTATTATTGTCTTATGTGGTTGGTAATAGATGCCAGGGAAGGGGGATGTGTGGTCAAAGAACTTCCTCATCTCATCAAAGACAGTATAGGATGTTGCAGCTATTGGCATGACTAGGCACTGGATTTAAACGGGAATATGGCATTGAGGAACCCCATCATTTTTAAACAGGACAGACTGCACAGATCCTGTTATCCCAAGCCCTGTATTAAACACAAAGCTAAGTCACTCATTGCTCGCCATTGTGCCATGTTGCAAAGTGATCACTATGTACAAATCAATTAATCATGCAAACAATCAATCAGTTTTACAACCACATGCTGAGCTTTGTGTTAAAGGGCCTTGAGGTATTTACTGCTGTCATGACCAAGCGCTGGACGAGAGAACAAAAATGGCATCAAGGAACTCCCTCATCTCCTCAAAGAGAGTATAAGAGATCGAAGTGACCAGTAATGTCCTTGATGTAGTCACCATCGTCATGACTTAGTGCTGGAAGATGGGCCTCCGTCATCTCCTCAAAGACAAAGAAAGAGATTGCAGTGACCGGTAATGTTCTTGATGTAGTCACCATCGTCATGACTTAGTGCTGGAAGATGGGCCTCCGTCATCTCCTCAAAGACAGAGAAAGAGATTGCAGTGACCGGTAATGTCCTTGATATAGTCACCATCGTCATGACTTAGTGCTGGAAGATGGGCCTCCGTCATCTCCTCAAAGACAGAGAAAGAGATTGCAGTGACCGGTAATGTCCTTGATGTACATTTAGTCACCATCGTCATGACTTACTGCTGGTAGAAGGGCCTCCGTCATCTCCTCAAAGACAAAGAAAGAGATTACAGTGACCGGTAATGTTCTTGATGTAGTCACCATCGTCATGACTTAGTGCTTGGTGCGGGAGGGAATGTGTCATTAAGGAACTCCCTCGTCTTCTCAAAGACAGTGAAAGAGATTGCAGCGGTTGGTATTGCCCTGATGTAGTTGATGCTAAGACCCCGGTATAGTCCTAAGAATCCGTGCTTCTCGACGACAGTCTTCAGGTTCTGCATGATGTGGCTAGAAAAAGATTGTTGTGGTAATGAAAAGAGGAATGAACAATGAGTGTGTTTAATAAAAAGCTTGAATTTGAAGGAAACATCTCTAAATGTAAGTTCCTTAACACACAAATAAATTAAGAGTTTTACAAGACTAACAAATCTATGACGGTTTGAGAACATGTGATAATTGAAGTCACAATTTTAACAAAATAAAAATTTAAAAAGTCATTACATCAAACTGAAAGCAACTAGCTAATTTCAAGCTCATGCCATGTTTAATGTATTAATCATTTGTTTTATTCACTAAACATAATCAAGCTATCCATATTGATGACCAAAACAGGCAAAGAACAGGCCTAAAAATGAACTAGATGGAGTTTTGACTGCGCGCAGTCAAAAATGATGCCTCCGCCATAGAGCAATTTTACAAACCAAAACGGAAGCAATTTTTAAAATTCAAGTTTGATTGTAATCCATCTGTCGGTTTTAATGATAATGCATTCAAGAGCTATTTATAGTCATACATAATGAGCCCCGTGACCTTTGACCTGATGACCCTAAAATCTAATCAGTTAATTGGCTCTGCAAGATACTTATACATGTCTTGAGTTTGATAGTAATCTGTCTATTGGTTCTTGAGATAACGCGATCACGAGCTATTTTTGTATAAATAATGAGCCCTGTGACCCCAAATTCAAATCAGTTCATTGGCTCTGTTAGATACATACATGATCCAAGTTTGGAGAGAATCCATCAATTGGTTCTTGAGATAACGTGATCACGGACGGACGGACGGACAACCAAAAAACATAATGCCTCCGGCTACTTTGTAGCGGAGGCATAAAAAAGGTACTGTACTCTCATGGCAGAGCAAATGCTATAATATGAAGAAAAGTTGAGAGAAAGAATGCACAGCACAAATCTCATTCTTACTTAGATGAATTTGGTACCATGTGGCCTAACTGCATTATTCTTCTAACCATGTCCAGTGGGTATCTGCAAAAGAAGAAAGAGAAAGGGACATCACTAGAGTGTCTTCAAAGAACACTCTTCAGAGAAAGAAGCATGCACAGACAGACAGGAGAAGTGCATTTTGCAATTTTTCACTTTTGACCTTGCCCCTTATTCTGATGTACTGCAAATTCCATGACTGACAAATCATAACAAACAGGGTATCATCTTGCAGAGGGATAAACATATTTTCTAATGACATTTAACAAAGCGATAATTATCCCATAACAAGTGAGATAATTATAATCAATCAAACTTGAATTTCCAAACGTTTTTGGAGAGGTTTATTTGGTTGTGTCTGTCTTGTCTGTGTGCCTGGGGTATAGCAAAGACCTAGCAAGCCTTAGTAGCATCAATAGGACTTTTATTCTAAGGTATGCATGAATTGAATACATTAGTAAACTTAGTAAGTTGTCTCGCTTACGTGATTGTCTGAGCTATTGCACCTGCTAATCCCCCAACACAAAGATTTGCCGTTATGGTGAGTGTTCTCTCGCTGGGGTTGTTGGGTATAGGTTTGGAGAACTGTGGAGGGCCTTTGGTCAATAGGAAGATCTTGGCTGTCTCATATGTGTAGAAAGATGCACCTGTTAACAGAGGAACACAAGATGTTAGCAACTATAGGCACCACAGGTCACCTGCTTACATAGAGCTATCTTAGCTGAGCCAAATATAGTGGTGTATGAAACCCCAGCTTTATTACAATACAAACCAATCTGGGGAATTCCCTTTTTTTTCTTTTTCCTATCTCGCACCATTCTGCCCCAGGCAGCCATGCATTAAATCCTACATTACAATATTTGTTGCATGCCTGCCTGGATAGGTAAACAAATCATTTAACAGACCACTTTCATGATGTAACCAAATTTAATACATACGTCTTTGTGAAGTGCTCAATTACAAACTTTAAATTCACCTGTACTGAATAATTATATTTCAATAGTCAGAATTCAAAATGTATATATGACGTGTTGTTAAGTAGGACAAGCCATAATGTTTATTCTACCTGGCAACAAATAAATGATAATTTTATGGTTTCAAAGGCTTCAAATTTTAGTACAGCACTACAAATACACCACATATTTCCCAACTCCAAATATTGTTGTTGCTTAGCAATATAATTACAAAATGACGTAGGTATAGTTATTGACAGTGCGGAAATGAGAAGTATGATTTTGAATAAAATGTATTAACAATCCTTACCTGCGTATGGAATCATCCCTATGAGTGTTGGAGTTACTCCCCTGTATAGGGCCTTGAACTGACCTTCCTAAAAACAAAGATGAGATTTTTTTAAAAAGTGGTAATAATATGTAAAGGTGTACTGGTATCCATTAAGACTACAAATTGCAGCTGATTAATCTAATCCAATCCAATCCAATCCACGGACTATTTGCTCTAGCGCCTTTTCCTTGCAATTACAAAGTGCTCCACAACTTGCTCAACAACACACTACAAGGATGATTAAACAATGATAATAGCGCTTCAAAATTATAAACGTATAACAATCCATGCTCTCTCACAATATAAGTAGGCCTTCAAAAGTTTCTGTACATTCTATGGAACTATTCTGCTTATTAAAGAGGGCAAACAAATGATTATGAAGCACCTCAATCACTTTGGATTTGATTATTCCTCAATGCACAAGACAGACTGCTCAACGTTTTTAAAAGCTGTGTGGATATTTGGGGTAATTTGAACCAGATGCTTATTATGAACCAGTCTACTGAAATGTCATTCTCACTGTTCCATTTTATTCACTATACAAGATGTTTTCCAGACTTACGTGATGCCATATTGTGTAGAAGGTGTGTATAATCCCCTTGTACTTTATCTCCCCTCTGCTCTGGTATGCCAGACGAGCCCTAACCATGTCTAGGGGATAGGTACAGATAACGGCTGCTAGCCCTGTGGGAAACATATACCATACGTATACATCAGTATCAAGCATACAAGTCCAAGTCAAAACATTAAAATGCTATTTTTAACCTGTAGAGTTGTTGTGGTCTAGTGGAAGGTATTTGGGTTCAACAAAGGTAGTTAGTCTGAGGTCCACTCTAAATATATTTAGATTAGAGGTCAGGTTTATTAATTGAATTGGTAAGAAAACGGATAAATGATTTTATAAGAACAGAAGCACCATTAGAGCTTTGATCAGACCATTAAACAAGAGATATAAATGACACTTACAATGTTAACTTTTGTGTGATTTTCTTGTTTTCTCTGTATATTTTGGACAACTAATGACCCATCACATGAACCTTTTTCATGTCCGTTATAATCAACACCTCATACATGTATGAGTTCACAACTTCACACATATACATTGTAAGTCATCTTCATGTCCGAGTGAAAACAGAACAGCGTATTCACAGACATTAATCTGATTGAACTTTGTTTCATTCAATGTTGACATGTTTGATCATAAAATCAACATTTCAAGAACATGAACTGTTATCAGAATGATTTGATAAACTTCCAAGGTTGTAAAATTCAATACAATATATTGCCCCAATGGTATACCATGACTAGAGCAAACATTCAATAGATTTATTATTAATGTAAACAAAAAATTCACAGAAAAAACAAAACTCTCAAACAATAAACAAAGGTTGAACAAAAAAATAATTACCTGCGACAGATCCAGATAACAGCTTCATTTTGGTTTTCTAAAATGCAAACAGAAGTAATATTTTTACATTAGTAGACTAAATATTGAAAATAAGTATGAGATAAAAATGATATTATTCTTTCAGTAAATTCAAAGGACTCATAAAAAATGTTGCAAGGTCAGTTGCTGTGTCAGCATAGTAGTGTTATGTTAAAAGCACAAAATACTAGACTCTATTGATAATGATTGTACTGTAACTAAGTCGGGTGGCCAGAATGAAGCCTTCAATCAGCTTGAAAATGGTTGTGTAAGGGTGCTTTCAAGCGACACCTTTTTACCCTAGAAACATAGTTTTCAAAGACGTTTAATTTAAAACACAGTTGCGTCCAAGCAATTACAAGCCATTTTTCGTCGGTCGTAAAAATAAATATGTTTCAAAATGCAAACATGAAAACTCTAAAAAAGATGCGTTTCGTATCGTGATTCTGCAAAATCATGGTCGCTAAAAATCGCTTGAACACAACAGAGATCTCAATCATGATTCTCCCGGTATGGCTGGCAGTTGACCATAAACAAATTAAAAAAGCATGCGGTGAAGTTAACCTTTACTTCCTGGGTCAAACTGCGCAGTGTGATGAGCAGTGGCTGGGCTTGAAATGAGTGAGAATCAGCGTTGATGAAAAATCGCTTAAACGCTCTTCTGCAGTAACCATGTTTTTTAATGGCGCTTTGATTTGTGATTCATGTTTATGATTCTAGCGTCAAAAAATTGCTTGAACACACCCTAAGTTGTCTGACACAATCAGCATGGAGGTGTTGTAATGATTCAAGCTCTATGCTTATGTTTCATCACCTTTATGTGTTCATTCTTATAAATATAAATTGTATAATAGTTGCAACTTGTCTTTGATAAAACATTGTTATATTCTTTTTCATGTGAAGTCAATTCAAATGGATGTAAAATTGAAAATGATTTGTTATGTTATATTCTTTTTATGTGATGTCAACTCCAATGAAGGGTAAAATGGAAAAAGATTTGTTATATTATATTCTATCATATAAGCAGGCTGTTTTTGTGTTTTTTGTCTATATTTTATTGTTTTGAGGGACCTGACCTCTACAAGCTAAAGCCTCATCTTTTCTTCTTTTTTCTCTCACTTAAATGCATTATATGAGCTTGATCCTTATAAGTGTTCCTGTTATACTCTACATGTTATAAACTCTTTAAATCGTATTACATTCATGTTGGAAGAAAGACAAATAAACTTGAACCTTGAACCTCCCCCCCCCCCCCCAACAATGTGCTGTTTGAAGTAGGTGTTGAAGAGTGAAGGGTAACTTGTGCCAAGGAATGAATGGTGGTGGTTGTTATTTTACCCGACTGCTAAGAAAGCATAAATTCTTGTAAGTAAGCAACCAGACAGCCAACGGCTTTAGGTCCTCTCTGAGGGACCTGGTAATGAGGATTAATGCCTTACCAAAGGGCACTAGCGCATCGCCTTAGTTTCGAACCCGGGTCACCGGATTACGAGACCACTGCTCTACCGACTGAGCTATCGCGCCTAGGGGCTACTGGTGTATACAGTATGCCATCCCCCCCCCCCTCCCCTATACCATCTTACCTTCTTACACCATTCATAAGTCATGAACTGGATGGCTCCATAGGGAAATATCCGAACCATCATCGCTCCGTTGCCTTTATAGAGGGCACGGTATCCCTCATGTTCCACTACCTCCGTTATTGAAGACCAAACACCTGTTAATTATCAGAAAGTACATAGTGCATTATAGTGTACATGTATATAAAAATGAAGAAATAAAAGTAATTACATGTCCAGCTTTAAGGTTAAAACTATTTGGGTTTGCACACTTCTTCCCCATTATCAAAATGCAACTATATTATTCAATGGTTAATTGGATTGGATTATTAAAAGCATTTAATATTTTTAGACAAATCATTTTTTCAATCTGATGTCTTGTTACAAGCAGATTTACGAGTTTAAAAAAAAAAAAAAAAATCGGGGGGGGGGGGTTCTTTATTACATAGTGCCCTACATTTAATATCAAGTAGTTAGTACCTTCAAAATAAAAATAGATATTATAGTTGGCTAGTAGCCATTGTTAGCTTACCCAAGTGCTGGAAGTGTTTATGTCTGGCCTGTAGCAAGATCTTAACCCTGTCCAAAGGAGCAATAACAGTCTTAGCACAACATCCAGCCATACCTAAAAAGGGCAAAATATCATACAATGAACAAGTGAAGATGCATATTTATTTCAAATAAGATTATCATGATTTCTAAAATCTGTTAATAAACCAAAAATTTAAATGCAGCATGAAATTTTCATGAATCTTGTGAGCGATCCAATCTTGCTTTAACATTTTGAAGGTTTTCTGTTAAAGCTTGTTCGGATATGGCGCAGTAAACTGCTGCAAAAAAGCCGTCACATTTTTGTTGAAACGAGTTAATGAATGGAGACTGCAGGTAACAAAGGACCAGCTTTTTATTTCATTGAGCTATGAGTTATAAGATACAGAAATGAGAAGCGTACAAATGTAATACACTTTATATCGTCATATAACAAAAATGCAATTTGTTTTGCTACCTCATGTCTGAACGAGCCTTATTTAACTGCCGATAGTTAGGGGCTAGGTGAGGGGGGGGGGGGGTAGGGGCGCTGGTCCGAGAATGAGGATTGTCTGCATAAACGAGGATATCCTCGTAAAGGCGGACAAATCGCATCCTAAAAAATAAGCCCGGATCCGAAGAGAAGGCCAGGGAGGGGAGTCGAGGGGAGGGCCTTTAATGTCCTCTTTATATTCTCTCACTTAGAGGCTGTTCACACCGCAATGAGATAGCACGGTCTATCATAGCACCCCCTTTTTTCTAGCGTGCGCTAGACCGCGCTCTCTCGTGGACCACCCCCAAAGTAGGGGCGCTGGTCCAAGAATGAGGATCGTCCTCATAAACAAGGATATCCTCATAAATAGGCACATTCATGGGGCACTTGAGGGCGCTTTGCACGCGTACGAAAATCTGAATGGCCTTGCTGCGGTGGGTCGGCAATAATCAGCCCAAAACTTGGAAATGGGAGGGTGGAAGGATATATCTTTTTTATAATGTTATAAAGTCTTACCCTTAACCATCCTATGTTTAATCTATGTAGAAATAACATGCGAGTACGATAAGAGAAACATCGGGCCCATTACTGATGCAACTTTTAAAATATTAGCCTAGAAATGACCACCAAACGGAAAAAATTGACATTTTTTCCCGACAAATCTTCATAAAATCTGATTTATAAACAAGTCACATCTAGGTACACTAATACAAATACGATTTTCTGAAAATTCAGGTATTATTTTTTAAGTTTCTTTCAAATTGAAATTTTTTTTTTGCAACAAATTTGTTACGAGGTCCGCGAGTGTTCCCCGTTCCTTGCGTGTTGAAAGTTTGGTAATACATAGTTTACATTGACTCGCGCACAAAAAAATGGTCGAAAACAAAATGTCAAATGAAGAAATAAACAAGCTTTTGTATAGTTATAAGAGTTCTACCGAGGTTTCTTTGTCGATTTAATTTACTATATAGTCTCAATTAGAATTCAGAATTATCTCACTGAAAAGTTAAGAAACCGACGATGTTCTCGATCGTAGTTATTTTCATTTTGCCAGCAGCCGATCTAGCGTTGTTTGGGCAAAAAGCTAGGCCGCTGCCTTCCCATCGCAAACCTTTCCGAGTCCCGCTAAAATGGCGCGCTGCGGAGCTCCGAAGCTGCGTTGGTATCGCTGCAAACTCTCAGCCGGCTAGCTCCCCAAGACGGACCATTCGCGGTATGGCGAGATTGTGTGTGTGAGGTACGATTTTGGATTCGAGAACGCACGTAATGCAACCGTGCGCGTCATATTCAGCTGTCGAATGTCTACGACCAATTTTACATGTACGATTTTTAGTAGTAGATACTTGGTCAGTTTTCTTCTTATATCTTTGGTTTTACAACATTTAAAAATATAATTTCTTCAAATTTGCTCCTGACTCGGTTCAGACTAATTGTGTGATGTGTTTTCAAGTCAATTTTTTGAATATATTTTTTTGCATGAATTTGCCTATCATAAACGCAGACAAAATGCGTCCTCAAAAATATGGGTTGTCTGCATTTTCGAGGACGTTTTTTTTCATCGGCGCTCTGGGGGTTTCATGTTACAGAACGGCCTGCTGGCGATGCCAAAAATGGATTCCCCAGGGGAAAATAAACCTAGTTCACCGTCTACTTTTATGGGTTGTCCGTCTTCCCAAGGATTTACTGCTCATAATGTGAAGATCTCTGTAATGTAAAATTATTCAAGAAAATCATTGCAGAATCTGTTTTTTGCATCGCCAACGCATCGGTCTGTGTTTACGAAGACGATCCTCGTTTATGAAGACGATCCTTATTCTCGGACCAGCGCCCCTGGCCCTACTGCCCAAGAGGTGTTCCAGTGGCTCGCTGTTGGGCGGACCGAAACAACCTCTTAGTACACTAAAGTATAGAATAATCCATATTTCATATTATCACCTAGGTCCTAGCCGGTAGCCTTAGCTAAACTACATTCTGCAATACCCAGCTGGACAAAATTGAAATTGACACACCGCCGACACCGCGCAGCGGTGTCATGACTGTGGCTGGCCTCGGCTCGCCTAGCTCGTGCCGATGGATCCGTCATGTCCGTAGCGGCAGTTACTGACTACACGGCACACGCAGCTCAAACGCTCAATTCAGAACACACATTCGCCACCATTAAACATCAAGTCGATCATACCTCCTGAAAGGAAATTCTTCAGAATTTCATCTCCACTTTGATTTGCTTTACTAGATGAATCCCTCATTGTTACATCGATTAAACGGCTTAGAAATCACTGTTTTAAGAGGGGCTTTCTCTCTGATGGGGCGACGATACAGAAACGGTTCGTAGTTTTTTTCAATAACATTTTATTATTTTGTATTGCAGATCTCTATCTGTGATTTTTTTTACCATTCGAAAAAAGTTTAAACAAACAACACAATATAATGAATTATATTTTTGTTGTAAAATTAATATTTAATGGTCTGGATAAACTTAAATGTCTAATTTTTAAAAAATGAAAATGAATTGGCCTTGAACCATCTCTTCTTCAAGAGTTCAACGAACTTTTCTACTCTGTTGGCGTTCGTGCATTCCGACTCGTAGCTTTCGACTTGGCTTTTTGGGCTTTCGACTCTCTCTTTCTCTTTCTCTCCCGTCTCTCTCTCTCTATCTTTGTTCAAGACAAAGTTCAAACATACCTACATCGGTTAAATGAATGGTTTAAATACTGGGGAATTTCAATTTCTCATGAAAAAACAGTTTCGCTTCTATTTACAAATAGTAAAAATAAAAAATGTGAACTGAATCTTGAAGGAGTACCCTTGCCTTTTGTACAGGAGCACAAATTCCTAGGCTTAATGTTTGATAAAAAATTAAGTTGGAGACCACATATTCAGGATATAGTAAAAAGATGTAAAATAAAATTGAATATTTTGAAGAAAATAACTGGTATATCATGGGGAAATGACTCCCACTCTATGCTTATTGTATATAAAGCATTAATACGTTCACTATTTGACTATGGATGTGAAGCATACGATTCAGCTTCAAACTTAGTAAAGAATACGTTGAACTCAGTACAATATCAGGCTTTAAAAATTATAACTGGTGGCCCTATTGGAACTTCATTACAATCCCTGCTTAAAGAAACAGGAGAAGAACCACTAGATATAAGGAGAAAAATGCTGACGAATAGATATTATTTTAAAGTGAAATCTACTCCCGAACACCCAGTCCGAAAATGTACAATCAACTGTTGGCAGTATGAAAATCTTAAAAAAAAGAAAGGAAAAAAGCCCTTTGGTTTTAGAATTCTAAACGAGAAAATAGTTCAAGAATCGGATGAAGTTGAAGAAAACAGACCAATACCATTTCCACCATGGCATTACATTCCACCCACCATCTCCACTGAATTACATACTTTAATCAGCAAGAATGACAACCCACACTATCAAAAAGCCAAATCTTTAGAAGTAATAAACACTAGATATAAAACACACCTACATATATACACAGACGGATCTAAAGATCCTAAAAGAGGCAACGCAGCAGCAGGCTTCTACGTACCAGCGATGAAAATTCATGAACAGAAACGATTACACAATGACACATCGTCATACAGGGCAGAACAAGTAGCCATTATTATGGCATTAGATTGGATTGAAAACTTGAATATTTATGTTGGTATAGTTATTCTTTCAGACTCTCTGAGTACAATAAATGCAATAGAATCGCAGATAAAAGAAAATTTCGTAATAGAAATACTGATAAAAATAACACATCTTCATTATAGAGGTATAAACATAACGCTAGAATGGATCCCATCTCACTGTGGACTAGTAGGGAATGAAGTAGTAGATAGTTTTGCTAAGAGAGCATTAAAGAAAAACATAGAAATTAACAATGATCTTAATTTACAAGAACTGAAATCAATACTGAGTAAAAGAGTACGAGAAATTGGGGAAGAAAGATGGAAAACGATAGAATCACCTTTAAAACGATTTGAGAATCATTCATGTATATCAATCAAGGTAAACAGATACAGTGAAGTAATATTACATAGATTGAGAATGGGTGTTCTTCAACTGAACCAACAAAAGGCTAAAGTGGGTTTAAGTGAAACAGAATATTGTGATTATTGTAACATCAGTGAAACAGAAGAACATTTTATATTTTATTGTAATAAGTATATCATTGAACGAGCAATGCTTTTCTCAGATTTAGACACCAAAACAATAGAAGAAACAAAAAGAATACTTTTCAAGTTTTCACAGAAGGCTCAATATGCCATCCTACTATATATCCATAGAACAGGTCGCTTCAAATAAAACAAGAGACCTAATAAGTTTACCTACAAGTAAAGTAAAATAAGCCAAAAGTACTTCTTTCCCCTATCGCTTCTTTAGGAGATTCTCATAAAGAGAATAAAAGGAGGAATAAATAAAGAAATATAATGTATGTAGGTATGTAATATATAGGCCTATATAGGCCATATATAATATTAAATAAAGACGTTAATTTTTCAATTGTTCTATTTTTATGCATTGATACTAACAAAGAGCCCACTTAAATGTTTGCTTACAATTAGTGATAATGTGATAAGATTTGTATATCAATTTACTTGAATGGATTGGAAATTCGGTTTCAGGAGCGCCCCTGTACGATGTGTCTCAATTTATAGTGTTTCTGTGTTTCTGAGTGGTCTAGGCACCGTGCGTTATAAAATTAAAAGATCACTGCGCACGCACGCCGAGTAGCCGAGAAGCCTGTTTCACATCGGGCAAAGCTAGTTTTCCATGCCATCGAAACCGGGCTGACCAGATTAAACTTTTAAAAAAAGCAGAAACACGAAGTTGTAAACCATCCAGAGACTCCTAAAAAATTGCGTTACTTTTTAATTATATCATTACAAATCTTTATCCTCAGTTTTCTTTTTATAACTGATTTTCCTTATAAAATTAAAAATAATTATGGCGTATAATATTCAACATTGAATGAACGCCAATAAACAATTACCCAACAACAACAACAACTCTCTCTCTATCTCTCTGTCTCTCTCTCTCTCTGTCTCTCTCTGTCTCTCTCTCTCTCTCCCTCCCCCTCTCTCTCTCTCTCTCTCTCTCTCTCTCTCTCTCTCTCTCTTTCTCGCCCTCTCTTTTGCCTTTTTACAAAGAGAATAGTGAATATCCATTATATCTTTAGGGCCTCTGCACATCTGTGTTTTTGTTACCGTTTTTATGAATAATTTTTTTTTTAAATGTATAGAGCAGGACAAACTATATTAAGAACAAAATAATACGGTCTCTCTCTCTCTCTATTTTATCCCTCCCTTTTCTAGTCCTACTTATTTTTTCTCTTCTCCCTGACTGGTTTTTATTTCTATCATATCGGCAACTCATACTGTGAATAAGCACAGTTATAATAGAATAATGCATGTTGAACTTCAAGAGTTTAAAGATAAACTTGACCTCTGGTTCAACAAAAAGAAAAAAGAAACAGAAGAAAACGAAACAAAATAAAGCAAACAAACAAATAAAAAGAATTTGCTTTTTTTTTTTTATACCTTTGTTGAATGAAGGCTTTGAAAGAAGACGATTCTTGTACCTTTCTCGACTCATAATCCTTGTCTGAATTCAGTCCGCCCCTCATGCGCATAGCGCAGAAGCTTTGACGTATTATTAGACAAAGAAGATGATTCGTCGTACCTTTCCAGTTTTCTCCCCTCCCGCGCAAAGCGCGGAAACTTTGAAGTTTCATTAAAATATTAGAGAAAGAAGACGACTCGAAGTACCGTTTTCGACTCTTAATCCTTGTCTGAATTCAGCCCCCCCCCCCCCCTCCTCCTGCGCGAAGCTTTGACGTATTATTAGACAAAGAAGACGATTCGTCAGTGTACCTTTCCCGACCCTTAATCCTTATCTGTATTCAGTCCCCCTCTTTCGAAGTGCGGAAGCTTTGACGTTTCATTAAATTATTAGAGAAAGAAGACGATTCGTTGTTCCGTTCTCGACTAGTAATCCTTAATTTGAACTCAATTTCCCCCTTTACGCGTGAAGCGCGGAAGCTTTGAAGTTTTATCAAATTATTAGAGAAAGAAGACGATCAGTTGTACCGTTTTCGACTCCTTTTCCCTTTTTTCTTCCTACGTCCTCTTCCTTTTTTTCTTCTCTTTCTCTCTTTTTTTTTTTTTTTTGGCGTTTTTTGGGGGGAAGGCGACCGCCCCCACCGCCCCCCTGGCTACGCGCCTGTGTAGACAATAGAGGTAAAAATGTCAGATGTAGACATAATAAAGGTAAAAATGTCAGAGGAATCAAACAATTCTGAGGTGAAATGCCAGAGGTATATGTCAGTGATAAATATGCCATAGGTAAAAACTTGATAATTGTTAGGGCTGATAAATTGATATTTGCACATTATATTACACAATTTGCAAACTTTGTTGGTTCATGTTATATGCTCTTAAATATGTAGAACATTTTTATGTTAATTTATGATACTGTTGAAATGATGTTTGTGTTGCATCATTTTCGTATTCATATATTGTGTTGCATTTCGTGTGTTTATATGTGCAGGGCCCTACTGTACAACAGTGTAAATATCACTGGATAGGCCACCCTGGGTACTAAAAGACACATAAATGAATACAAATAAAAAGAAGAATTGCAAATATAGTCAGTTAACATAAATAACTGTATTACCGACCACATATCTGATTGATTCACGTCTGTAAAAAAAAACATTTACACATACACATTCACATAAACAAAAATGATTAGAATCGAAATTTAAAAAATATTGTTTCAGAATCATTTTGAGTTTCAGAGAAGCGCTGCAAGCAGCGTATACATCACGCACCCAAACCTAATAATAATAATAATAATAATAATATAATAATAATAATAATAATAGCCTACTCCAAATTTTATTAAACCGAAACGGAAATTCTTTTTGCCCAATTGATCGTGAGCCCGGCAGCCACTGAGCAGCGCCAGATCGACGTTGCTCTATCCCTTATTGTTGAACGCCAAACAAGGTAGCAACAACTCCCATCTTTTAACGTCTTTTGGTATGAAGCAGCCGGGGTTCGATCCCACGACCTCCTGGTTGTGTGGCGGACGCTCTACTGACTGAGCCAACACTCCGGTACATGTTTCATGAAACTTTTTTTAAATGTTCAATTTCAGTAGCTTATAACAATTATTGTATCTTTCATGAAACAGGACCCAGAACAAGCTCATTACGGTCCAGAGAATGTAAAGAAAAAGCTCCTCTTGTCCATTTGTTCATTATAATTGATCATCTTAGGCCAAAGACGGCCATTAAGTCTGGAGCTGAGACGAAGTTAACGTCCTTGTAACCTAAGATGAGGTTTACACCGAGTTTAAGACATTCGATTTCAGCTGCTGGGTTTCCGTCTAAATCCTCTACATGGGCAGCGCCGACAATTCTGTATAAACAAATACAAATAGTAGTGGCATCATCATCACCTTCAACATAATCAATGTCACGACAATCACGGACATTAACAACTACAAGTTAATTGGTCATCAAGAAAATTAATGTATAGGTCGTTATTTTCTTATCTGAACCCCATCATCCGTGGGGTGCTAATCAATTCCTTTAGGAGTAGGTAGAATAATAAACAATTATTGGACTCAATGGCAGACCAGAGCATTTGATTAGGTTAATGGCTCTGAAATGGACTATCCAACCCTTCTATCATTCTATTATTGTTATATAAGTCTTTGATTTTGTAATATTGTGTTATTATTTTTATGGAGATTTTCGGATATAAAACAAACAAACAAAAGAGTTGCAAAAATTGCAATCCAAGAAATGTTCATTGGTAAGTCAACGAGGATATCTACCACCAAAACCTGTTAGGAATGTCTCGTGCACAAGTTAATTAAAATCCTGCCGAGAAGTTGGGTTTTAAAAAAATGACGAACGGGTGACGAAATCGTTTTGGAATAGGCGATGGGGATTTAATTATCTGGGCAACCTAGCCATACAAATCAATAAATACGTGAGCAAGATTAGTTAGTTCGGTTTGGCCATCCAAACGTGTGTTTCTGGGGGGGGGGGGGGGGGGGTGCTGATATTATTTGGGATACACCACTGTCCATAAAAGATAATCTGTATTTTTTCCTCTAATGCCATTTCTCCACTCTACAGCAAGCAAAAGAAGGGAAGTGTCCAATGGTAAATACGCCACTATTGTATACGAAAGGGAGAGATAATTCTAATCTTGTCTTTTCTCGTCATTCTCTGAATACACATCTAAAAAGCAATATCGACAACAACAAATAAACAGAACAAAACTTAAATGCTTATATACCTTCTTATGAGTTCACAGCCTGCGAATCCTACAACTTCCCGACCAAGCGATGTAAGATCGTCGCTCGGCAACCTCAACTCGGCATCTCCGAAATAGTCCGAGATGGCATCCGACATTGCATGACGAACCTTGTCGTGAAACTTAGTGCAACTGGAGTTTTTATTCTGCATGTCGATTCGATGGGCGTGGTAAGAGAAGATGTAGTTCGCGAGGAGGACACCGAGATCGAAACCCAGAGGCCCGACAAATGAAAATTCCAAGTCAATCATCTAAAAAATTCAGATATAGAGAGTATGAAACAATAATACCTATTTAATGAGATAATGGCGGTAGGTCTAGATATAACATTATTTCGAGTAAAGTATTTTTCAAAAAGTGAAATATGGTTTGGATATCCGATGTTCGCTCCGAACATTCTCTCGTCTAAATCATATGATTTTGTAGAGTTACGACCTGGGTTGTGATTCCTGTCAAGTTAGGCACAATGTTAGGTAGAGAGTTGGGTCCAGGGTTCAAGTACGGAATCCGGGGCCAGTTTCTCGAAACCGTCGTGAGTCTAAGCTTGTGGACATCCTATAGAAACGATATAGATAATTCTATATAATTATAACACACGTTTCAACGGGATATCCAAGAAGTTATGACGGTTCCGAGGACCCCCCCCCCCCCCCCCCCCCCCCCCGTTGATATTAGAAGTTGAACGTCCGGCAATTTTCTACCTGAACTTGTATCGTACACATACAATGAAAAACATGAACAATAATTGAGAAAGATCGTCCACAAAATTGATAACGCAATACTGTCTTATATAGCGCTGTGTGTTTGCAAAAATTTGAGATGTTATTGGAAACGTATACGGTAATATAAACTTCCTACATAATCAGGTCAAGTTGACAGTGAAGTTCGTGTGAAGAAATCTGTATAAAATAGTTTGACAGAATTTTGTTTTACCTTTGCATCTTGATCTTTGGTCATTATAGAACCCGTATGTAAATCACCGTGTAAGAGGCAGTCCTTTTTCTCCAAAAATATTGATCGCAGATCGGACGCGTTTCGTAGAAGTTCGTCGTTGTCATAGATGAGGGCAAGGCAGTCGGCGACCTCGGGCGAACACTGGTTCGTTGGATGATCACGGAGAAAGGGATACGTGAAGATGAAATCACGCGTCAACGACACCATTTCAGTATTTCTACAAGAAAGAAAAAAAAGCAAACAAATTATACCATGGCACCAATTCCCCCAAATCATGACAATACTGAAGTCACAGTTCTTTACAGTTTTGAACCCTTATTTTGTAGTCCATCGTGTAGCGCCTCCTGTTTATTTTCAAAGTACAAACTGTATGGCCCGAATTCACAAAGCAAAGTTTGAGCTCAGACCAAGGTTTGAGCTCAGACCAAGGTTTGAGCTCAAACCTCCTTTTGTTTCGCCAAACCTCCTTTTGTTCTTTACAAACCAGATTTGTACAAAACGCGTAAAACGCGTCATATGACGTACGAAAACCAAGGTTTGTCGACAAACCTCCTTTGTGAATTCGGGCCAAAATGAGCAAATTGTTTTGCTTTACAGACACTGGATTAACAAAAGTTTTATGATGGTGCACAAATTACAAACAGCCCTTCCCCTCCATTTTTAACCTCAAACTGCTGTTGATCTCCGACTCCGACGGAGGAAGAACAACACGAAGAAGGCAAACAACCAATATACCAACGATTACCCACACAAGAAATGCATCCTCAATCAATATTTCATATAAAACATTTCGACCGAGAATGTATCCTTCCAATCTTTCAAATTCTTTGATCCTTTAGATTGAAAGGAGGGGATGGGGGTGGTAATTTTGTTGTAAAACTTTTCCTCGGATATCAAGTTGAAGTGATGTATAGAACTGCATTTCAATGCCAAATTTTTTTCTGAGAGAGGATTTCTTCTTGCCACTCTTTTTTTGGTCTCCCAAAAGTCACAAACTGCCCTTTCCCCCAAAGTTCGAACAAAGGTATACCTACTCGAAAGCTTGTTTGAGTTGATCAAACTTTTCCCGCCCTAGTTCCTTTTCGGTGGTGTGTTTGTGTATCCGGATTAAATATCTGACGATTTGTCTTCCTGCATCAAGATTCAGATGACCGCGAACAAGTTGCTTCTTCATCACCTCATAACCTCGAAGATCTTCCATTAGAACTGATTAGAACAAACAAGTTTAAAGCAGGAGGATGAGCAAGCATTACTTTGAAGATAATCGCAATTGTCATGCAGTGGCGTACGCAGGATTTTTTTCGAGGAGGGTCTTTGAAAATTTGGAAATCGCGCCAACCGATATTAACCTCCAAAAGCCAGCTCCCCCCCCCCCCCTCCTGCGTACGCGCCTGATTACATGTTTATCAATAAATCATTGTCCCAGAAGCTTGCAGCAGGCTTGTCCGACATATCAATATAACGTCAATGATTACATGAAATGTTGATTCATCTGTATAGAGAAACCTTCTGACACAATTGTGTTCTGGAAAGAGCGTCCATGTATTTTTGTAAGTAATTTACAAGTGTAAATTTCTGAATTATTACTACTTTGGACTACTTGGAAAAGATTTCTAGTATGACATGTAACAGTCAGATCGTAACCGATAATATTATACAAAAATGTGATGGTAATAATGATGATGACGATGATGATGGTGATGATGATGCCAGGGGCGGATCCAGCCGGCGGCAAGAGGGGGGCCCAAATCTTGAGAAAATATTTAGCGGCGAATCAGCCCGCCGGCGAATGAGCGGGGGGGGGGGGGGGTGGGGGTGGGGGTGGATAAGAGCACATATATTTGTTTTGGGGGGTCCAGTTTTCGGGAACATTTTTGCGCCGAATCAGCCGGCCGGTGAATATTGAAGCGGGAGGGGGGATGCTGGAGAGCAGGATCACTAATTTCTTCTTCGTTTTTTCGAGGGGGGAAGGTGAAGCGCCGTTTTAGCATGACTTTCTTTTTAACCCTCACTTTCACCTATCCCAGATAACCCTTAGTTTTTTGTTGCTGCTTTATATGTAGTTGATAATGCATGATTAAAATTAATAGAGAAAGAGAGAGAGAGAACCACCATCATTATGCAATGGTTCAAGGTTTGTGTAATATACATTTGAAACCATTTCTTAGTGTCTCAACCCTAAAAAAATAGCGAAACTATTTTTGAGGAAAAGCATTATACTGAACTGAATAAAGAATAATAACTTTATATTGGCTCAATCTAATACTGATACGGGCTAAAGACAATGTGGTATCGGCACAGTAGGATCGGGTATTTTTATAGAGGTTTTCCAAAATGACATTCTGATAATCAACATTTCGTTCTGTTATCATATGTATATACGCATAATACAACTGATCTTTATGATTTCTTAACGTAACATAGCTTCTTCTCCCCCTGCAAATAAAAAAGAAAACAGGGTTATTCAATAAAAGGATCATGCGACAAAATGATCATTGTGATTCAAATTGATGCAAGGATTTTTTTGAACAAGCAATGCTTTTCACCAGAATCTTCTTTGTAAAAACGACTTTTACAAATCTCAGCCATGCAATTCTGCCATTGTGTTGTAAAATCACTTTCAGATTAGGAGAATTGTATTCTATAATGAGTATTTTAAATTGAATGGAACGTCTCAACTCAGTAAGCATGGCTGAGATTTGTAAATGTTGTTTTTACAAAGAAGATTCTGGTGAATAGCAGTGCTTATTCAAACAAATATTCGCATCAATTTGAATCACAATCATTATTTGTCGCTTAACCCCTTCTAATGACCTTGTTTTCTTTCTCGTTTGCAAGTGGAGAAGAAGAAGATATGTCACGTTAAAGACATCATAAAGATCAGTGTTGTATGTGTATATATACACACAGGCCCCGCGGAACGTTTATCAAAGTGGGGGGGGGGGGGCTAAAGTATTTACGATCAGGTAGAGGGTAGCGAGCGTAAATTGGTGTGGGGGTTTCAGGGGGCGGAGCCCCAGGAAGCTCAGGGGTTTTAGGCATTTAATTACGGTCAGAGAAGCACAAATATTTTGATGCCGCATTTGTGTCACTGGCAGGTCAGGGGGGCCGTTTTTTTTTGTTTTTGTTTTTAAGGTAAAATTTACGTTACTATCCTATTTTTTTTTTACCGGTTTGGGAGGCTAGAGGGGGGGGGGGGGGCGGTAGAATCGGCCCGTGGATCCGCGCCTGGATGATGCCACTGATGATGATAATAAATAATAATAATAATAACAATAACGATTATATTACATCTTCTACAAATAATGATAATGATAATTCCAGCAACACCAACAACAACAATAAAAATAATAATAATAAAAAAAAAAAAAATTAAATAAAGTAGGTAATGATAATATTTCAAAGCGCTGTACATTCACTTGACGCCCTAATTAGAAACATTTTTTTTCTTTTACAGGCTACATAATTATTCCGAGATGCATAAGATCTAAATACTCACATGAATGATTGGCAGTGTCTTTATGGTAGGGTTTGGGGACACTGCCCTGTGCTATCTCATCAAACCAACATAGAGCTTCATACTCTATCTCAGATCTAACCGCGGATAGAGGATACTCTGGACCTAGACACTGAAAAGAAAATTATTAGTATAAGTAGTATTAATAATAATAATAATAATAATAATAATAATAATAATAATGGGTTCTTGTAGTAGTAGTAGTAGAAGTAGAAGTAGTAGTAGTAGTAGGCCTATTAGTAGTACATGTAGCAGTAGTAGTAGTAGTAGTAGTAGTAGTAGTAGTAGTAGTATTACTATAATTATTACTTTTATTATCATTTTTAATTATTGTTTTCATCATTCTTATCAATGGTATTATTGATATAGTATTAGTATTATCATCATCATCACCATCATCATCATCAGTAATCATAATTGTTATTATCACTACGTAACTTATAACTAAATCATGTTAACGCAAGATAAATACTCATAGTGCCATCTTTATTCTTTATGAATCATTTGTGATTTCGACTGTCAAAAATAAGATAAAGGCCGGTGTTCTTGAAGTCGAGATAAAGTTTTAAAATACCGATAAGTCAATGGAAATAGGCCACTGATTTTGGAAGCGTCAAGCGCCAAGCGTCTAAAATCTTCATCCCGTAATGGTTACCATGATTTTTTTTAATGTTTGAATTAAATTCATGCCATCATTTAGTAATAATAACTGTAATATTATTTATTTCTTCATAAGCACTATTATAGTACACTGATTCAAGCGCTGAAACAATAAACACATTTATTGGATTTTGGAAGCGTCAAGCGCCAAGCGTCTAAAATCTTCATCCCGTAATGGTTACCATGATTTTTTTTTAATGTTTGAATTAAATTCATGCAATCATTTAGTAATAATAACTGTAATATTATTTATTTCTTCATAAGCACTATTACAGTACACTGATTCAAGCGATGAAACAATAAACACAGAGATGTATTTCCAACGATATACTGTATAATTCATATGGCACTTAGCAGTAAACATATTAGTTATCAATATGCGAAGCTTGGACAAGATATTAATAACAATGATACAAGATAAGGACATGAAACCAGCAACGGCATAGATATAAATTAACCTGGGTGTTCCACAAAGACTAAGATCGACTTTAAGTTGGACTTATAACTATGGCAGGCTATTCATGCCACTGTTTGCTCTCACCATTGGTCTCTCAAGGGACGTTAACCAATATTTTTTCCTTTAAAAATGAATTATCAAAAAATATATATTCTGTACATTTGTGATCACGATTTGTACGTCCGTTGAGAACACAATATCAGTATATGGTGAGAGCAAACAGTGGCACGAACCAGGGGCGGATCCACGTAGCGATTATTCCGGATCGGGCCCCCCCCCTCCCTAGCCCCCCAAAACGATAACAAAAATAGGATAATAACATAAAGTTAACCTTTATAAAACAAAAAACAAAAGCGCCCCCCCCCCCCACTTATTCACCGGCCGGCTGAGTCGGCACTAAATTTTGTATTAAGATTTGGCTACCCCCCCCCCCCCCCCCCTTGACCCCGTCTGGATCCTCTGCAGGCGCGGATCCACGGGGGGGGGGCTGACGGGTTAACAACAACAACAACATTTTTTTTTTTAATTCTCACGAATTAGGTGAAAAAAACAAAAATAGTGGTCTCACCCCCCCCCCCCGCCCCCCGCTTATTCACCGGTGGCTGAGTCACAACTAATATTTTCTCACGGATTGCCCCCCCCCCCCCCCCCCCCCCCCCCCCTCTTCCCGCCGGCTGGATCCGCCACTGGCACGAACGGCCTGCCATAGCCATAGTTAAGTCCAACTTAAAGTCAATCGTAGTCTTTGTGAAACACTCCCCTGTCCTGTTGAAAGCCAGATATGTGTTAATCACATTTAATACAGAGTTAACGCATAGCTCTCTGACTGACAGTATAGCGATATGATGAACTAGGAAGAGTTGGGTTTTTAGTTTCTTTTTGAAAGTTTCTCTCTCATCTTTTTGTCATAACGAGATTTATTTCGTTAATATACCTTGATATAAGGCGGTGCATGTTTGACGATGACTGACTTTCTCTCGACGTCCTGCTCGATGACGCGATGGACGTCGTTCAGGTTTCCATCACCGATTACCTCGACGATAAACCCTGCAGCTTGTAACTAAAATAGTACAGAATAAGAGTGTGTGTGTGTGTGAGAGAGAGAGAGAGAGAGAGAGAGAGAGGGGGAGAGAGAGAAAGTGTGATAGAGAAAGAGAGAAAGTGTGTGTGTGTGTGTGTGTGAGAGAGAGAGAGAGAGAGAGAGAGAGAGAGGGGGGGGGAAGAAAGAAAGTAGATGATTTAATCGTGTATTACACAATGTCCCTTCATATTTAATCAACATAATAACAATCACTTATTGCGTAATCAGAACGTGATATCTATGGGAAATATGTTAAATATAATGTGTATCGCAATACCATGTAACACGATGAATTTCCATTGTTAAATGGACAGTAAAGTTGAACCTTATGAACCTTATGAACAGGGTGTTGAAATTGCCTTGAGTTGATTATTTCGATAGTAGTTGCTATCGTGTTTATATTTTCTTGCAAAAAAAACTGGCATGTGTAACGTGAAATATTATGAAAAATAATCTGAACTGTATAGGCTACTGACAACCCGGACTATTCCCAGCCCATAACCAGGCAAGCTATCCAACACCCGGACACATAGCCCCGCCCCGGACAATGATGTAACGAGGTCGGATACTAGTTATCGTATCCTGGGCATCGTAAATATGGGGGCGTATACCCTCTCAATGCTAGCGCACAGTAGCTCGAAGTGGTAGGTCTAATACATAGGGACAATACGCGAAGGATTCAAAGTCCATACGCAAACAATAATTATGACCCAAAGTAGTTGTTGAGGATTTGTTAAAATATTTTCTAAAGGAATATCTACGCACCGTCGATTATTTCACAAAAGTCAATAATCTACAGTAAGCCTAATCTACAGTGTATGTTGGTACTCCATTGGGTTGTATTGGTTACATAACGAAAGTGGCCTATAATTATGTACGTATCATCATGCCGTCCAGTAAAGCATGCATGGGGAAATATTATAATCACGAAAGGAAACATGCATACATGTGCCTCGACAGGAAAACACATGATAGTTAAACCGATGGCTTATTTCCAATTGGATGATAATATAAGAAAGTAATTGACCCTTGATAAGTTCAGAGATATAGTATATTTTTATTTAACCCTTTGAGTACTGAATTCTCTCATTCCCATAGGCTATACACAGAGACCACCAGGTTCCAGGAGGGAATGGGTTAAAGAATGAAAATACGAGCAATGATGCTGAAACGACAGCAATTTTACTTACAGATTCAAATTAGCTTAACCTAAAGCACAAACAGGTTCTTCTCCTAATACCCTATGCTTTATTTGTCTAAAATATGAATGATGTATTTAATCAGGTAAAACGGATATACACGGCACTATAGCTTGCCTAGACGTATTTACCTGCATGTCACTGTGTAAAATAATTTTTCCAGCAGTTTTATATTTATAAGCTATATTTTATACAAATCAATCACGTTTCACTAAATTAATTGATGAAAAGTCCGTATATCGATCACCGTATCGAAAATAATAATATGCTTATCGTGTAAAATACGACGGATTGGGAGAAGAATGATGATAAAAGATAATAAATAACATATTAAATCTTACCTTTTCATCTGTCTGCATATACTCCTTCACCCTCTGGATCCAATCGTTGAATGTCTCTTTCGCCATCGTTTAAAAGAAAAAGCTAATGAAAGTTGTTTTATTGGATAGTTTACATCTCCAATCAGTGACACAATTATGATGTAGACCTACAATGCGCTTAATAATAGTCCCTCTGCCTGTTATCTCGTAATTATATTCATTTGAAATAAATCGCAGGATGATTCGAACTATCGCAGGCAACGAGGCAGGTCTTGAAGTTCGATGTGATCATTCCAGAATGGCTTAATTATCCTACACTATAAACAAAACGTTCTGGTGCTACGTTTTCCTATAAAGAGAAAAGAGCAAAATTCGCGTCTTGACTAAATGATGAATGCACTGATACAGTGACTTTATTGTCCTATGCTATTAATACGATGATCACATGGCATGTGTAAAGGTCAATAATCCCTGTTGGTTGAACGACCAATAGTACTGTGCATACATGATTATAAAAAGTGTCTGTGGCAAAAACGAGGTACACTGTTATGTCAATGTTTACCTAGATCCGTGCCAATGAGTTTCGTTCAATCAGGCTCGTGATCCCATTATTGTTCGATATGATGTAACATGTCATCACGTGCATTGTATAATTTAGAGGAGAGCTATATTTTACCGATCACGCCGAAATGCACAACAACAAAAACCCGAGTGGGTGCGGAGGGTTCTGTGTTAACGTAAACGCGGTCAAAAGTTGGTAGAAAATCAATCTAAACCATTATAGCAAAATCAATCAAATCACTAAAACTAAATCATACTTTGCAAGGGCAGTTTCGCATGTTTAAATAATTCTGGCACATTTGGTCGATAATTACTCTTGACAAACCATATATAAGCTACTTCGGAGATACACATAGGCCATTTGTACAAGACTGTACGAGGTTCATGCTTCAACCCATCGGAGACGACTGCTGTATGATGCCTCTTGCATACAGTAATTGCTGCTAGGTGGGTCAAAAAGTATTGCTTGCCTACCTAACAACACGGATTGGAATGTATGTCATTTCGCATTCTCAACTATTTAAATACATTTATTCGTAACATCTACAGGTAATGAAATAACTTGTAACGAGGCACTGAATTTGACTACATTAATTACGAAAATGGCCTATTCAATTCTTTTCAATTCAATTAAAAAGGGTTTAATTTGAGAGAAAAATTCGAGGCCAAACGCTGAATTGTGCATGTTCACAACAGTTTCTCACTGTCACGTCACACTGCATTGTAATATTAGAAATACATATATATATATATTTGTGGACTCATTTAAGGGGGGTCATTTGTACAAGCGCTGTCTCCCACGTGGCTTATTCCAACTCAAATCCAATTTGGCCGACGTCACTTTTTTCTGACAATAAAAAAGTCCTACTTGTCGGTTGTCACCAGGGGCGTACGCAGGATTTTTTCCGAGGGGGGGGGGGGCCAAGACGAAAATCCAATTGAAACCAATTGAACACCAATTGAAACTTCAATTGGTATCAATTGGTTTCAATGGGTTTCAATTGGTCTCAATAGGTTTTAACAGGTTTCAATGGGACTTTAATAGGTCTTCAGATGGTTTCAATTAGTCCAGATCGGCCCCATTGGACAAATTGGCCCCATTGGCCCCATTGGCCCCATTGGCCTAGGTCCCATTAGACTTTAATGGGTCCCCAATTGGTTTCAATTGGTCCATTGGCCCCTTTGGATAAATTGGACCCATTGGCCCCATTGGCCTAGGCCCCATTAGACTTTAATGGGTCCCCAATTGGTTTCAATTGGACCAATTGGCCTTAATTTGGACTTCAATTGGTCCAATTGAAACCAATTGAAATTCCATTAAAGTCTAATAGGGCCAATTGAAATCAATAGAAACCGATAGGACCAATGCTAAATAGAAACCATGCAGTTGGACCAATAGAAACCATTAGGACCAATAAGACCAATAGAAAACAATATGACCAGTAGGCCCAATAGAAACCAACAGAAACCAATAGAAACAAACAAATCTAGGCATTTCATGAATATTCATTATCACTTTAGACGTGTCACAGAAAAATAAATTTATCATGATTTGTTAAGCAAATTATGACAATGCACATCAATTTTGTGATTTCTATTTTCTTTCGGCAATTTTATTAACCAATAGATTTTTTTGTCTGATCATGTTACAATTACATTCACGTTTTAGCAATAGATATATTGATTATATGATTACTAACCAAGAAACAACATGCATATTTAGTATATGTGTACAAGCCTGTGTCACTGTAAATGTAAATCTTGATCATTTCAAATGATCTATGTGATGAGGTTAATGCAAATAAGATTGGAAGATACCTAATTGGTGGACAGTTGCCAATATCGATTATGAGGTATCAGTATTTTATCACTGGTTCTTTTAACTGGATCGATTTACCAATTGAATCCCCATTGAATGCCCCCATTGAATCCCAATTCAATACCAATTGGCAATTTGGAGTACATGGAAAGTGAAACAATGGGTACCCATTGAAACCAATTGGCAATTAGTCCCCATTGGAACCAATTGGCAATTGGTCCCCATTAAAACCAATTGCCAGTTGGTTTCAATGGGGACCAAATTGCCAATTGGTTTTAATGGGTACCCATTGTTTCACTTTCCATTTACTCCAAATTGCCAATTGGGATTCAATTGAATTTTCGTCTTGGGGGGTTAAAACTTGAAAATCGCGTCGAAAATTTCGCAACGACACAGCCAGCTGCTGAATAAGCGGGGAGGGGGGAGGGGGGGGGGGTAAGGTCATCTTTTGGGTCACTTTTTTTTAAATAAACAAAAACTTAACTGGGGAGTTCGACCCCCCTCCCCCCCCCCCCCCCCCCCTGCGTACGCGCCTGGTTGTCACACACTACAATCACTACAATCACAATTATCTATGTCTCTTCTGCAATGAGTTACGACAATAGTTCTGTGATCTTAATGTTCGAAAAAGATAAGTTTGGATAGTTTAAGAAAGAAGTAAAAATGAATACCTAGAAAATATTAAATATATTTTTCATTTCATGTACTTTGCTAGCTTAAAATTTAATAGCACATATCATGTATTATGTAGACTAAAAGTTGAACTATAATCTGTATTAATAGTATATGCTATTTTCCTAAAAATAGACCCTTAACTAAAACTGAATAAGCTAGGATGGGGGATATGGGGAGAAGGAGGGTGTTATAGTTCTAGGAATATGTTGTTGTTGTTATGATCGTTAATAATAATCATTTATATGTCTGTACGCATGCTTTTTGTTTATATTATCATTTTTATTATTATTGTCGTAGTACATATTAATTAATTAATCAATTTATTGTAGTTATTTTGGGGCCCCGAAAAAGAACACGTCAACTTTGTTGGTCGATCTAAAACGGGTGATCCCTCGATATTCATCTTAATTTTAATATATATATATTTATACTTTTAGAATATTCCTTGTAAAGAATTAGGTTTTTGTTTCTTCATGTTTTACGATGTTTGTATTTCATATTTTATGATCGCAAATAAAACCAAACCATTAACCACACAAATCAGACATTTCATAAAGTGGTATTCATGTTTTTAATATGCAAACATACTGTACACAACGTTTCCACTTTGTTCGACGAATACATGTATATCTTTCAGCTCAATGAGACTACAATGCTGCTGAACACCATCGCATATTTCAAAAGTGACTTTCTGTAATTTTACTCGAGGCAGTCTCTGAAACTTTGTTGTCTGTACGTTTCGACCACGATTGTGGGACACTAACATTCAGGGGCCCGTATCACAAAGCCTTTTTCAATGACAAATGACAAAAATCAGTGACAAACCTGCTGACAACCAATCAGAAGCAAGGATTTCAGTAGCTTATAACAAAAACTGTCATTTGTCACCGATCACAAGTTTTGTGAAACGCCCCCCTGGTGAGTAACAAGATGCATAGACTTCTAGGATATCATAGATAATAAGAGAATTTTGGGAAAATTACATTCCTCGTTCATTTTTGTTTCGCTGACTTCAATATAATATACATAAAAACCTCTATTAGTACATTTCCCAATGATATAATTATGACATTCTTCTGTATAGTGGTCTATTATGTAAGTAATCTTCTACAGCGACATATGCATTCTAATTGCTACAACTGAGATCTATATAAAATCCATCTACGAAAGACGATATGGTGTCATTGCATTCTTATTGTTGTATTTTTAAGCCAATTCATATAAATTAAGTTATGTTAAATTGGAATGATACTCCACGTGAGGGCGGTATATCCCTTTAGTGTATACAGATACAGTCATGTACGTTAACAATTTGTTGTTGCTAAACGTAGAACATGCACAACTAGTAACATCTTCAGGCGCGGATCCAGGATTTCTTAGGGGAGGGGGCCCAACTTTTTTTTTTTTTGCTCCCGAAAATTTGAAAAACGCGCCGGCCAAAAATTCGCTCAGTGGGGGGGGGGGGGGGGGGGGGGGGGGGGGGGGGGAGGGGGTAGTGAGCACATTTTTTTTTTTGATCCTCAAAAAAAAATTCAATTTGCACCCCCCCCCCCCCCTTGAGCGCCAGGGGGGGGGGCCCAACCCCCCAAAAAGGTAAAAATCACGTGATTTTACATGATTTTTTCCGCCACTGAACATCTTTACCTGTCTAATCAGAATACAGTTCCTGAAATTAGAATTACATCGTAACACAGAGAAAGAGAGCCTGATTGATTATATTTGGCCCAACTAAAAACACTTACTACTACAGCCTATTTAAGTAATATGTTCCATCCTAAATATCTTTATTTTATTCAACAATTCAACATTTTTGGCAACGACTTGACATGTTCATTGGAATGTATGTTTTAGCTCCAACAACCAAACCATTAGGCACAATGTTAATTCATGTTGTGGTAACTCATTACTAAAGATAACCATTTTATCGTTAGTCCTAGTTCATTCTATGTTAAATTAAAGTAAAGTCTATGTATTCCTCCATTATCCTATAATAGGTGAAAGACACAATGGATAACAATTTTGAAATTGCTAGATAATAACATATCTCTACAGCATGAATACAAATAAGTACAGCCAAAGTTTCCCATGAAAATAAATAAACGTGTACAAAAAAATAGAAGAACGCGCTATAACCGAATTGCATCGCTAAATGACGCCACTATAAAAAAAAAAAAAAAAATAAGACAGTATTTCATAGACACGAAAGGAAAGATAGAAAGAATAAATATGCTGTATATTCATTCTTTTGATCTTGTGTTAACAGCTACAAATTTTACTACGATTTCTAATCTGAATAAAAGGCGGCTATATAAGCTGAATTGAAGAGAAAGATACGTTAAACCGTCTGAAATTAGTTACTATATTCATGTAGAAGTAAATGGTGTGTAGCCTTTCCACTTATTCATCATATTAAAGCACATATTGTAGCATTTGAAATTAATGTACCATTACAAACACCTGAGCTCATGAACAATAATAATCAAATAGATGTGTAACTACCCATTAAATTAAAGAGCAATCCAACCCTAGTGATAAATCATTTGTATAAAAATAGAAAATAAGAGAAACAGAATGGCGAAAGTTTAAAATAAATCCGACGAATGATTATAAGATTTTGAGTGTTTGATATATGATATCACTAAACCTATACACATTTCTAATTAGCAATAATAAATATTTCAATCATAAATTTCATACACCATAATAAATCTTAGACAAAGGTGCTTTCCAGCAGCAATTTTCGTTAGATCACGCTAAAACTGTTACATATCATGCATCTACTTAAGCATTACAACATATAAACATTTTAACATGGTAATGAATCATATAGACACTAATCTTTTTTTCGAATTCAAAGACTCATTGGTTTTACCCAAGAAAAATACATATCTATCTGAGAAAAGTAAGAATGACCCCGTTTGTGCTTTAGCTTGAAAGGATTATGGTATTGCGAAGAAAAATAAGAAATTGATATATCCGAGGTGTTGATTGTTCATGCTTCACGCGGTGCTTGGTCTTGTTTATAGCGGGTCCATTTATCTTGTCCGACACTGGAAATACAAGAAAAGACAACAACAAAAAACACGCACACAAATAATAAATATTTACATAAATCATTTACATAAGTTAATAGTAAACGGCATTTTCCCTGTTCAAACAATTATGAAATATATAAGCCAAAGAAAACTGTTGTCGCAATAAGGTACGAAAAAAAAAAATCTGTTTTTTACACTATTATTGACATGAATATAAATACTATTATTTATATTATTAATGTTATTACTACTACTAGTAGTAGCAGAAGTAGAAGTAGTAGTAGTAGTAGTAGTAGTAGGATAGTATCGTTCTCGTCATCATCATCATCATTATGATCATCACCGTTATTTTGATCAGTATTATTATTATTATCTTTGTTATCATTTTTATTATTGTTATTGTCATATCACATGTCTATGTTATTATCATGATTAATTTTGTTCATTCCAAATTTGTTTGAATCAATAATCATGTACTAAAATAAGATCTGCCATGTGTGTTGTTTTTCCATATAAACGTTGCCACTCAAAGTAAAAGGAAGTTTATGTACCCCCTTAAAGTTTGTTTTTACCTTTTAGCTTCCGCCGTCATAGTTATGATCATTATTGCACTATTGTACCATCGTATTTATTTTGCTTTGCAGCTAATAACACAAGTATATATTCTTATTAGATAAGCAACCTAAACAAAACAACAAAAAAAATCAAATTTGAATGATTTACTGATTGAAGATTTGATGACTTATCAAAGGGCACTGTCGCCTCAAATTGTATTTATAAATAATAATGTATAATTGATCTTTTTGTGTTGTTTTAGAAAACGGTAAAAAAAAAATGATCTGATTTGATTTGATATGATATGAATCGAGATCGAACAAGAAGCTACGGTTACGAGACCATGGTTACGAGACCACTGTTATATTATTGACTCACCACGCCTTCATTTAAAAAAAGAAGATTTTTATGACAAAATAGGAATATTCAAGTTGGCACAACCTCCTTACCGTGTAGCTTTTCTAGTATCTGCACAGGTATCTACTCGTAATCTATGGGTCCATGTGGTATAAAGAACTTCTTGTCCATCACATAGATGACACTGACCAGACCAACTGCCTGTCGACTTCCCGTTGTTCTGGGTTACTATAAACCCGAATGATGAGAAGTCACATCTTCGGCTGATGTAGCCCACGACCAAATAAGGGTCTAAAATAATGAACAGATAATAGACAGATATTTCTATAAAAGACTGAAACACCTGTCCTAAGTTTACATTTTGGAAATGTTGAATGGGTGTTAGACCTCAATATCCGCATTAGCACAATTTTCAATAAGCTGCCCGGAAACCGCATGTATAAAAAGTAATAAAACCATATTGGGGATTGCATTCTACAAATATATATTTTTTATAAAGTCATTACTAAATAAAGGAAGGTGTCTCATATAAACAAAAAGTCCTTATTAGAATATTCACTCAAAGAATTTCTTAAGATTATCAAACATTATAATGAATTCAACTTGTTTAATAGTAACTACTCGACGAACAAGCATGGAATAAGGCCCCGGAAGGGAACCCCAGTCCGACTTGGGTTCCTTTTTATGTTATTTTTTATTTCGTAATACTCCTCATCTGTTTGCCGATAGAATGCCGGGTCAAGTTTTTGTATAGCTAGATATTATAAATTTGGTTGGTTTAATGGTTTATTATAGCTGATTGCTAAGAAAGCATGTGCATGCTTGAAAGTAAGCAACCAAGGGTCGACGGCTCTAAGTCCTCTCCGAGGGACTTGGTAATGAGGAGTAATGCCATACCATGGACCCTACCATGGAAACGATTAGGTTTCGAACCCGGTACCTCCCTGCTACGACACTACTACTCTACCACTGAACTATCGAGTCTCCTAAATTCTGTGAGTACATGAATTATTTTTAGGTGATTGGTACACTTTCAAGCTCTACTTACTATTATATCCTGTAATGAGTTCAATGCTGCTGTAATAATCCCCTAAGATCAAACCAGTCGACGTAGGAGACAGACTGAGCCGATCATTGCATTCATTATACCAATCACCTTCAAGATCACAGAATCCAACTGTTTGTGATTAGAGAAAAGTGATACATTTTCAGTGAAATATAATGGTTAATGCTACTGTTACTTTCTTTGTATTTTTTGCCGTATTTTGCCGTGCTAAAAAAGGTATGTAAAATGTAAAGCATTCATAGAAAATCCTTTATAATCTCATGCCCTTTTAACCACATCTCTCTCTCTCTCTCTCTCCCCCTATATATATATATATATACATATATATATATATATATATATATATATATATATTATTTATCTATTTCAATGTGTATGCATATACAAAAAACAAAGGTTTATTGACAAATATTTATAATAATATGATAAAAAGGTCAAAGTTTTTAAATTCTTTCGTTTGGTCATTGTTATCATACACTCACGTCTGCCCCCTCATTTTAATTCGTTGTTTGTCTTCTTGTTCCCCTCTATAATGATCTATCTTCCCAGCCATCTATATATCTCTCTGTCTCTCTCTCTCTCTCTCTCTGGGTCTCTTTCTCTCTCTCTCTTAGTCTCCCCTCTCTTTCTCTCTCTCTTTCTCTATGTCACTTTCTCTCTCTCTCTCTCTCTCTCTCTCTCTCTCTATATATATATATATATATATATACAGTTATATGCAATATATAAACACACTCTATATAGAAAATATACACATACATATATACCTCTGTATATATACTATGCAATGCACTAGGAAAGGGGAGAATGATGGTTGCGTTTCCATGAGATTTTCCATGGAAAGCTGTTGTATAGTAGATTATATATATTTACATACATACGCACACAACCCCCCCCCCCCCCACTCACACACACACAAAATGTATATCCTACATACCGATCCCACAGTTGATACCGGAGTAGCCCTGACGACAGAGGCACGAGAATTGATCAACATCGTTGATACAAGTACCTCCATTGAGACAGGGTAGACTGGAACACTCGTTGATGTCTGTACAAGAATAATGGAGTTATAATGATAATGATAACAATAATGATGATGATGATACTATACTACTAATAATAATGATAATACTAAAACTACCAATACTAAAACTACCATTTATACTCTCTAAAAAAATCGAGTGATCACGGACGTCACTCCTCTGGAGATTGAAAATGTAGTGAAAATAGAGTGAACATTCACCCTTTTCTTCTTAGAGAGCACTCTAAAATCAATCGATTTTCACTCCTAAACAAGTGATCACGGACGTCACTCCCAAGAAAGTGAAAATAGAGTAAAAATTCAGTCTTTTTTTTAAGAGAGTACTAATGATTGTACTTATAAAACTAATAATGATAATAACAATAATAACAATCCGTTCTTTTTTTATATAACTTCTCGATGCACTTCCCACAGGACTTTGGACGATGACTGTCAGTAACGAGAGGGGCATTTTTTTGTCTGCTATGTGAGCAGAGTCTATTGTGATTACTTGTGCATCTACAAATGAACGAAGGGTATGATGTACTAATGATACTAATATGATGATGTACCGCAAAATGAATCTAATTGAGAAAAACCCATAGACAACTATGATATATGTGCAGTTTTAGGTATGTCTCAAACCTTACCAAATGTGTTTGAATTGTATTAAGGAATTGTTAGCTTAAATTGAAATCAAAAGAGCATTTTATTTGATGTGTTGTCTGATTCAAGCTCTAGTAGGGCTGTCAGCTTGATACAGTCGTCAGATTATAATGAAATCGTGGATATGGGACAAAATTGCTTGGACTTGCCCATGTACTATGCATACATAAGAAACAAACGAAAAAACCATGAAATAATCGAAAACTTTAGTAATATGGTAATCATGGTAATACTTATTTCACCATATTCAGGTAAAAGTTGATATTGCATCAACTGTAACATTTTCTAGTTTACTATTGTTCGAAATTCAGTCCAAGATTGAGATATTATACAATGACAAAGATGTTGCATTATTCCTATGTTGAAGCTATGAACAGCCCTCTAACAATTCAACATCTTTAGCAAGTCATAGTATCGTTTAATCCCTAGGTATACTACACCCTGAGTTGAGAACAATCGCAGTTATTTGTGGAATCGGGGCAATACAGACAGACACATGTACATACCAATTTCGCACCGGTCGCCTACAAAGCCTGGTAGACATTCACACACAAAGTCCTCTCCTACAGTCACACACGTCGCCCCGTTTTCACAAGAAGTGTTGCCGCATCCAGTCGGCCCTATTGAAAAGAGATTAAATAGCATCACCATTCTTGAAATGGTTCCACCCATCTTCTCTTAAACTGTACTTGGTCTGGAGGATTGTAATGAGTTGTTTCCCTCCTCAAATGAATATGATCTTTAAGATTTCTTCAATAAAATATCGGCCGATTCATTGATGAAAATCGTTAAATTAGTACAGTGTAGTATACATTAGTGGCGCCAAGTGTCGTATACACCTGTGAAGGTTTCACTTGGGGTACGTATCATTAACTTACTCTTCTGGTTTGTCACCAACTTACCTAATGCAGCAATTGTGACACATAACGTGCAATTTCCAACGTTTCCACTTCGATCAGCAAATCTAAATGTGATTTCAGTTGGTCCGAGTGGGAATAAACTACCAGACGGAGGATCCACACTGACTAGAGTTGTCCTGCCAGAATCATCAGTTGCTGTCGCATCTGGGAAGACGACTCTCAGAGAAGATACTCCTCGGGGGACCAACCGAGTGAAGTTTAGAGGACAAGTCACAACCGGTGGAGTTGTGTCCACTAAACGAAAAATCAATGATCATTGAATGAGTGTTGATATGGCTCTCATCATTAATACAACTAGCCAATGAATGAATAAATTAATTAGTAAATAACGACAATGAACTTAGGAACTTAGGCGTAGAATTTCAATGTTTTTGTTATTGTCAAAATGTCATAGTCTTTAAGAGATTCCTCGAATGAATGGAATTCCGCTCTACGTGTAGAGGTGTTTTAAGATAATCACTTGTGATTATGGTAATTGTTGAACGTGCAAGACCCTTGTTTCCACTATCAATTTCGGATAATTCAAAAGATTTCAACATTGCATAATAATCATGTAGGATATGAATATCTGCTTATAGAGGATTTCACTACTTACGGATTGTGCTTGTGGTTATGGTAATTCTGAACGTACAAGACCCTTGATTTCCACTCGGATCTTCAAACACGAAGCTAACATCAGTTGGTCCTAGAGGAAATGAACTACCGGATGGAGGGTTAACACTGACCAGAGACACCGTGCCGGAGTCATCTGTTGCTGTAGCAGATTGGAAGGTAACGGCCAGAGAAGTTACTCCAGGAAGGACAGACCGAGCAATGTCTGGAGGACAAGTCACAACTGGAGGGATGGTGTCAGCTGAAAGATATTTCAAAGGAAAATCAAAATAGAGACACGAGCACATCAATCTGACTTTGTTTACATAAATGCAACAACTAAATAGAAAATAAATCATTTTGTATACAGTAGGCTCGCGGGTGTACCATGTGAGAGAGAGGGAGGATTGGGAAGTCCTGAAAAGGACTCTCGATACTCTTTCTTTTTTGAGTGTGTGTAGTCCTGAAAAGGACTGATGGTGTAGTCTTGAAAAGACTGTTGGCTATCTTTCTTTAATAGCTTAAAGTTCTAAGGAGAATTATAGTGGCAGTTGGAGAGGATAGGTAATCATTCTGTGTTACAGATTCATTTATATCAATGAGATTCCATCACTACAAAATCGTCAGGGTATGAACAACTGCTTACAAATGCTTTCAATACTTACTTATTGTGCTTGTGGTTATGGTAATTCTGAACGTACAAGATCCATCATTTCCACTTGGATCTTCAAACACGAAGCTAACATCACTTGGTCCTAGAGGGAATGAACTACCGGATGGAGGGTTAACACTGACCAGAGACGCCGTGCCGGAGTCATCTGTTGCTGTTGCAGATTGGAAGGTAACGGCCAGAGAAGTTACTCCAGGAAGGACAGACCGAGTAATGTCTGGAGGACAAGTCACTTCTGGAGGGGTGGTGTCAGCTGAAAGATATTTCAAAGGATAATCAAAACAGAGACAGGACCACATCAGTATGACCTTGCTACATAAACTTTCTTTGTGTTAGTGATATGCGCTATACAAATAACGTTCATTAATACAACAACTGAATAATTATGACAATAAACTTAGAAATTGTAGTAAATAGAAAATAAATCGTTTTGTGTTACAGATTCATTTATATTAATGAGATTCCATCACTACAAAATCGTCAGGGTATGAACAACTGCTTACGAATGCTTTCAATACTTACTTATTGTGCGTGTGGTTATGGTAATTCTGAACGTACAAGATCCATCATTTCCACTTGGATCTTCAAACACGAAGCTAACATCAGTTGGTCCAAGAGGAAATGAACTACCGGATGGAGGGTTAACACTGACCAGAGACGCAGTGCCGGAGTCATCTGTTGCTGTTGCAGACGGGAAGGTAACGTCTAGAGAAGTTACTCCAGGAAGGACAGACCGGGCAATGTCTGGAGGACAAGTTACAACTGGAGAGGTGGTGTCAACTGAAAGATATTTCAAAGATTATTCAATAAAATGAGGTATTAGCATGATTGATAGGAGCACTAAAAGTCATGTAAAACTGGAATATTGGTCATACTCTTGTCTTACCATGGGGAGGGGTGCACAATTTTACCCTCCAAACATTTAAATAACTATAAAAATAAAAAAAAACATCTGCTTATTCTGCTACAGACAGGTCTTCTACAATTTTAAGATTGTTTCAAATATTTGAGGGAGCGTAGCGACTGAACGAAAAACATTTATTCAAAACGCTTCAAATTTAAGAGTTCTGATAAGTTTACTTATCTGTCTCGTTATGCAAACGAAACACAACAAATCTTCCAAGCTGACAGGGGGGGGGGGGGAAGTAAATTATACCCCCTCCTTCCTTTCGAATATTTCTTTTCTTTCTTTCTTCTTTTTTTTCTTCAAACGTTGCTTACCTACGTAAATAGTGATGGTAAACGTGCAAGTTCCTATATTATCACTGGGATCGATGAAGCTGAAGGTAACATCGGTTGTACCCAAAGCGAATGAACTACCAGATAGAGGGTCCACGCTGACAAAAGACGCCGTGCCTGAATTATCTGTTGCTGTGGCGTCCGGGAAGGAGACGGGTAGAAAGGAAATCCCTTGGGATACTGGCCGGCTAATGTCCATCGGACAATTCACATCCGGAGGGATAATGTCCGCTAAAGAATCTTTCGAAAATAATGTTTTCAAGGAATATTGTATTATAAAGAAAACATCCATACGCACTCTCAGTTTAGAAATTATTTTACTTTAAAACTATAAAAGTTATTGCCACACATATGCCACAAAAGGAAATTTATTGAATATTAGGTTTAGGTTTATTATTAGGTTTTATGTTTAGGACCAGGCTTCGAGTTAAAATATTTGGTTAATATGGGAAACACAAGCGGTTCTAGATGGGTTTAGAGGCTGTATATATATTTGCGAGGCACATGTACAAAATAAATGCAACGATAATGACGAGCAATTGCCCGTCATAGGAGCATGACTTTGCCCTACTACCAAAATCATGACCCCTGTCATCGGAGTCAGGCTTGCCCGGCAAATAATGTTTGCACATTCTCCACTCCCTATAGAGCAATCCAGCCAGGCGCCACTTTACAGACGCGCACAATGCTGATCAACCTACAATGACGTTCGCATCCTGTGAGGTAAGCTTACCCATTGACGCCTGAGTGGATAGAAGCAAAAGATATGAAATGCCTTGCTCAAGCACATAATTATATAACCACTATGTCACCAAACTTTCCTTGCTGATCATACTTAATTCGTGTTGCTTTACCGACTCTAAACCCATAGATTTTTTGGGCAATATTGGAGAATGTCATTTTTTATTTGGTCTGTAGTCGGTCTGGTGTCGGTCTCGTTGACCTGACTGGGGTCAAACGCCCTCAGTCACACCGCCAAGCCGACTCCAAACCGACAGATACATTGTACATTGGGGTTAACGTAATAGTTTGTTCGGCCTGCTTTCGGTCTCTTTCATGTGACTGCTTTCTTACCTGTAACAAATACATAAAATATACAATCCGGAGCGGTGTTCCCGTCCCGGTCTCCAAAGGTATAAGAGACCCTGGTTGACCCGAAAGGAAAGGTATCACCAGGGGCGTGGCTTTGGGTCAGAACAAGTGCAGGACCTCCGTTGTCTGTTGCAGTTGGTTCGTCATATAATACTTCTGCAGAGGTAACACCTGGCGAGACGTACTCTGTGAAGTCACCAGGGCAAACGACAACAGGTGGAGTCATGTCCTCTGAAAAACGAAAAGATCATAGTGCTGTGTTTATACCACGATCGCAAAGATTTTCGAGAAATAAAGTCGAGGGCGATTTCAATAGCCTGTCACTATGAATATGACGGACAAAGAAAGAGGACAAAATATACAGTTCCTCATTCTACCCTCAACAATTGCTGTGGTAGACAAAGGAACATCCCTTCACTGCTTTTAGGTAAAAATATGTAGTACAGGTGAATATGCATGTGACACCTGTTTTACACATTTTTACATAGTAGCAGTGAAGGGATGTTCCTTTGTCTACCACAGCAATTGTTGAGGGTAGAATGAGGAACTGTATATTTTGTCCTCTTTCTTTGTCCGTCATGTTCATAGTGTGTAGAATATTCCATAGAAATCATGTTTGAAATTTGTATAACGTGATTGTAACGTTCGTATTGTCGATAGGTGATGGACAAGGATATTGAAATTGGGTAGATTTTTTTCGAAAGTCTTTGCGACCTCGCTTCCTAAAAGTGAATTAACTTTTGTCATTTATCTTGTTTAAGTTAGTAGACTCTTTGCTGGAGTGGTAAGTGTCAGCATCTCTATTCGATTTGAAATACTACTGTAATCAAATGAACAGGCGAAATGAATTAAAAGATGAAATGGAGACGCTGGTCACTGTTACTAATACATTCAGTGATTATTTGCTTGAACATACAAAAAACAAATAAATGTACAATTCACAAATTTATTTATTTATTTATTTATTAGTCTTTTTTTAGTAGGGTGGCTCCATCAGTAGTTCAATACTGTTTTCAAACTCAAATTCAACGACCATTTCAAAATGATCAACACTGCTTTTAGTTGCTACTCGCTTTGAAACGGTCCATATTTGCATAAATCAAACATTTCAAAGATGTAATCTATGATATTTACTTTGTAATACGTTTACGAAGAACAGACAAGCAGGGGCAACATTGCCTGCAGCATCTTCAAATCTATAGAAGACAGCGGTAACTCGACCAGAAACAAATACATCTCCAGGTCGATGTGATTGTGAGAGGATTCTAACTGCTCCTTCATCCGTGGCTGTGGGCTCCTCGTAGAAGAAAGGTATAGATGTGGTGCCCGTATCAACCTCTAAGGATTGGTCCCGTGGACAATCCACGGTTGGCGGGCTCGTATCTGGGTGAAAAGCAGATATTGTCTTTATCTTAAAGAGTGAAACAAAATACGAAAGAACTTTTTCCTCATTGTGATTGTTATAATTCATAATAACGTAGATGTTAGTTAGGGACAGGCGCGTACGCAGGGGGGGGGGGGGGTTGGGGTTGAACCCCCCTCCTTTGGTATTTTTATGTGTGTAATTTCTTTTTCTTTTATTATATTAAAAAAAAAATGATGCCCATGGCTGACCTAAAAAAGCTCATCTTACCCCCCCCCCCAAGCCACGAAAAACGTCAAATTTTCAAATTTCGAGACCCCCCCCCCCCCCCTGGCTGAGTCGTTGCGAAATTTTCGGCCCGATTTCAAAATGTTAACCCCCCCCCCCCCCCCCCCCCCCCCCCCCTTGAAAAAATCCTGCGTACGTCACTGGTTAGGGATGGATAATGATGATGATGATGATGATGATGATAATGATGGGGAGCAGGAGGAGGAGGAGGAGGAGGAGGAAGAAGAGGAGGAGGAGGAAGAGGAGGATGGAAATAATGCACTGTGAAAAGGTTGGGCAATATTGTTACGACACTTTGCCCAACGTTGTGCCAATAGTAAACCCAACCATCTATTAGGCAATATTTTGCCCAGTGGTAAACGTACTTACCCTACTTCACATGTGCATAATTGTTTCGTATTTTGACCACAATTTGGGCAAAGATATGACCCTTCAACTGCCCGACTACAGTAGCCCACTTGTTGGGAAAATCTTGACCAGCTGTTGGGCAAAACATTGCCCAATAAAAAAAAATTACCCAATAAATGGTTGGGTTGACTATTGGCACAACGTTGGGCAAAGTGTTGGAAAATATTGCCCAACCTTTTCACAGTGTGTAAACGATTATTATTATAATGATGATGACGCTGATGATTATGACGAAGATGACGAGGACGATGGTGATTAGGCCTACATAATGCTTTCTATGAAAACTGGTTATTATACACGTCTCCTAAAATATGAGTCTAATGGAATTACTTTCAAATTACTTTTAAAGAATTAGGTCGTGAGTTCGACAGGCAGAAGACCTTTCACATATTCTTTCTAAAATGGTATTTGAATATTGACAACAGATAAGTTATACAAAATACTTAGATCTCGAAAAGCATTAACTGTTACTTGAATGACATGAAGTGTTTCAATACAAAATAATCATCCCAATCATTGCTTATTATTATATATAAGAGATTGGAATTTTGGATTTTGAATTCCATTTTAGATTTGGATAATGTCTTTGTTTGGAAGGATGTATTTTTATTTAAATTAAAGCAAATTCGTAATAATAAAGTTAAACAATTTAATTTCACGATGATTCATAGGTTTATTGCCTCAAAAGAAAACGTATATAAATGGCAAATTGTGAATAATAATTTATGCAACTGTTGTGGACAAGCTGATACAACTTTTCACGTTATGTTATAATTGCAAGGATATTACTTTGTTTTGGAAAATAATATGTAATTTGATATTTAACCTATTCCAAAAAGAAATACAAATAGACCAAGAGATAATAGTTGTAGGTAAAGACATTAGAAACAAGAAATACACACTCCTTAATATTATTTTAAATCATGCGCAATATGCAATTTACAAATGTTACATTAAGAAGATTGTTAATGGTTCTGTTTACTACCCACATACTTTGTTTTTTTTTATTCAAGTCGTTGCTAAGATTATTTTTAAGATATGAATGTGTTAGCAAAGAAAATAATACTAAACTGGAAGAATTGTTGAATATACTTTAAATCTTAGCCTATGTTATATTTCACTCAATCATTGAGTTACTAATGTAAATATGTATTGAAATTATGGAAATAAAAACCTCGCTTGAAGATAAGAGAGAAAAAAAGGTTCGAGATTAAAAATTGTACTAAAGAAAAAAAATCTTTTTCAATATTTCAATATTTCAATTCAATATTTTGAAAAATTGAATTTGAATTCATTGAGTACATTGGGCGATAGTAAAATGCATTTCTTAAAATCTAATCAAATCTGCTAGTAGTAGTATCAGTAATATTAGTGCTGTTGTTGTTGTTGCTGTTGATAATAATCTTGCTGTTTTTACTGTTGTTGTATTGATATTGTTGTTTTTGTTGATGATGTTGCTGTTGTTGTTGCTATAGACGCATTCGCAATACTTACCTAACGTGGCTCTCCAGGTCACTCGAAAACCGGTGTCTGTTCCAACATCATCGGTGCGCCAAAACAACCAAGCAGAATCCGTACCGTCTAGCATCAACGCACTTGGGGCCGAGTTCCCCCTGAAGAAGTATACCTGCTTCAATGAGTCGCTCGCAGCATTCAAGTCCGAATCGGCATTGAAAGTCAGCCCCGCGCCAATGTATAACTCATCTCCTGAATCTACGGCGAAGTTTGAGTGGAATGTAAACGTCAGCCGAATTGCAAGAGGGACGAATATGAGATAGACTCTTGCATCCGTGCTCCTGTAATTGGAGGGCCAGTTGGGAGATATGAAAGTCCCATCGTTGCATCCTGATCCGTAACAGGTCTGCTGAGATGTGGCAACTGTAAAGAGATGTTTAAATTACTTACTTAAGGATCGAGAAAAATAAAACAACTCTCAAAATATCAATTACAGACATTGTAGACCATGGTTGTCTGACGTCAACTTACAAATAAACATCACGATAAGTACACACCAAAAATAATTTGCTTTTAATAGATGCAGAAAAACAAGAGAAACAGAGCCCCAAAATTTGAGTAAAATCGGATAACTATTAAGAAAGTTATAAATTTTTGAAAAAGTATTTAGGCTAAATAACTATAAACAATGGGAATCACGACACAAATTGCCAATTTGGTTATCAGTTTGTTACGTCATTGCCTCACTATTTATCAATTGCTTTATTGTTTGATTGTTTGTTTGATTGATTTTATATATTTTTAAATATTTATATATTTTTATCCCATCAATTTCCATTTTTATCCCCCAAAACTTGACTATTTCCCCATGCCTTCTGCCCAGGTTTTATGACTCATATCCTTGTGCAAGGATTAAGAGTCGAGGACGGTACAACGAATCGTCTTCTTTCTCTAATGAAGCGTCAAAAGAAACTGAATTTAGATAAGGATTAAGAGTCGAGAACGTCCAACGAATCGTCTTCTTTCTCTAATAATGCAATGAAACGTCAAAGCTTCCGCGCTTCACGCGGGAGGGGGGCACCCACCCCCCTAGGGAGCGCGCTCTGTAAGTCATTGGCACGCTTCGCGTGCTCACTACCGCCCCCCTAAAAATGAAATCCTAGCTACGCGCTTGCTTATAACGTTAAGTAAAATGTATATAATATGATCGGTTCTGTTTAATAGTATATGGTGATGCGAAAATATCCATCCAATAATACGTTTGGACAATTAGAGAAACCAATACCCAGCAATAATAAACCAATGCATAATAGATACAATGAAACCTTTCTATAAAGGTCATCTGTCTACAATGGCAACTTTGTTAGTTTCTCTTGGGCGGCCTTAAAAGACTCGAAGGAACGCAAGTACAGATAAAGATTGAGCCTTAACTTTGTTTACAATTCTCATGGACTGCAAGTTTTTTTTTTTTTTATCTAGTCCAATAACATTGTTCAAACTCAATTATTCTGTACATTTATTGTCATGGAGCGCTGCATTTTCATGTTTCAAATCTAATATGAATTATATTCCCTGTGCATTTATATTTATTGATTTTCTCCTGAAGCTATTTAATTCAAAAGTATCTTTGAATTGTTAACCTGAACTCTCCGAGGAGAACATACGATTACTGCAGGAATATTCCGTCTCGTGTAATAACATCAAATAAATCATCAATAATATGTTCGTGTATTTGTGAAACCTCCATTAAGCCGTACATCAACATTTCAAAAGAAACTCATTATGCCTTTTTCATGGAACATTACACTTTTCTTCGAAATTAAAGATCTACCGACTGGTTATATTTTGATCTGTACTTTATTCTCCTGGAGTATACTCATTTGCTTCCTTCATGTGCCTGCGAAAGGTCGAAACTGTTCCTTGACCACTATTCATTGACCTCAAATGAAAGACCATGTATATGAGAGGTAATATGAAGGCAAACATCAAGGTCAAAATATTTCTGCTTGCGGTAACATGTTTGACCAATACCTTCATTTTCCTGGTTCCCAAGTAAATATTCTCCAGCCTTAAGCGTATTTGCAGGACTATATTTAGATAATTGTTAAAGATTTGGCCTCATAATGATGTCATATTTGCCTCTATTATCAGCACTCGTATGATGATGCCAAGCAGTGTTCAAACAAATCAATCTTCTTCCTCAAAAGGAATTTAATGGTAATTCCCCGTACGAATTCCTCTCCCATGCATCATTCTTTTTTAACAATAGTCGTTATTGTTGACTTTTTCGTATTTTGATCCTATTTACGTTTCGCTGTTTAATTGGCTCACATCCCTTGCCCGTGTTCTAATAGCGGTTTAAAGGTAATACAAAGTTTTGGGAAATGTTGAAAATTGGGTGGATAGTGAATCTACAAGTTTGATATATTTGGATGCCCCTGTGGATGTATTATACGCACTAAAAAAAATAGCCCCTAAAACACTTCTGTTTTCGAGAAAAATTAAATATAAAAATGTACCGGTGCTCCCGGTAAATTTTGATAAATTTCAAATAGCGCCTATGGCCGTACGATGGTAGCTGCGACCATGAAAATCTCAGAATAATAGTTGTGATATATAATTTCCAAATTTGGAATAGCTAATCGGTCGATTTTAGTCAAGAAACATTGTTTCATAGCTAAATTAATATCTTGACGTTGAGAGGGAGCTATACAACATAAAGAGTTTATTATTTATAATTTCATAACTTTAGACTCGATTTCAACAGCAACAACGATCAATGAATATTGTAGGAACGCATATGCTTCCAATATGTTCATTTGAACCAAATTCATGACCCCATACCAAAACTTTGTTCTCAATATCGGCACTTCCCTCTTGATCTTGAAGGTGACCATTTTGCTCAATTACCAAGTAAACACAAACCGAGGTTTATGAACGTCATATGACGCGTTTTGACGCGTTTTTTACGAACCTGGTTTGTAAAAACGCGTCGAAACGCGTCATATGACGCACGAAAACCAAGGTTTGTCGACAAACCTCCTTTGTGAATTCGGGCCAAGGCGTTCTGTGGACGCGAAGGACGTTCTACAAACGTTTAAACGCTTTTGGGAGATTTTGTGAACGTCATAAGAATGTTCAACTTGGGTATTGTCGGGGTAGTAAATTTACTTACACACATCAACAGAGCAGTCGTATCCCACATTGTCATTGGTACATTGACAGGCATAGTTGGACGCCGTCGAGTAGTATCTATTATAACACTGCTCGTTTCCTGGACATTGGTTCACGGCACAATCTGGCGAGGAAAAGGATGAAAAAAGGAATATTATCTGATTTTTTTTCTTCTCTCCATTCATTAATTATTTTCAGTACAACAATGCAACGTAATACCGCAGGGAAATACTAATATTAAATCACATTGAAATATAATTTCAACAATAAATGCAGATCCTTGCATAATCCCCATTTATTATATTAAGAATGCTTATTGTCAAAAATATGCCCTTACTTTGGCGTAAATTTTGCTGCACATAGCGTGTACAGCTCAGACCTTTACCTGATACAGTAAGATATTATTAAATTGTTTTGTTATACTTGAATCTGCTTTGCATACGATCGCCAAGACTTTCGAAAAGTCAATCTAAGGCAGTTTCAATACTAGCCATATCGGTCTCCTAATGACGTATTTCGTAATCAGAACACATGAAAATTCACTTCAACCGCACCTCTTCTGAGAGAACTCCACTGGTTGCCAGTCCGTCAAAGAATCTCATTCAAAATATTGTCAATTGTCCATAAATCATTAAGTGTTCAAGCCCCTAATTACATTACAGAATTACTTCAACTCAAAGTCCAGTCACACAGTCGTAGCCTGCGCAGTTCCACAGATAAATTCTTGTTTCAGATTCCCCATGGCAAAACTAAAGTAACTCTTGGGGACCGTGCTTTTGCTATTGCTGCCCCCAAACTATGGAATAGCTTGCCAATAGAAATACGAAGCACTCCATCTCTCAATGTTTTCAAATCCAATTTAAAAACTTATTTGTTCAACTGAGAGATCTTATTTTGTAGAATTTAGTAAAAAGGAGCTCTTAACCAGCGCAGCTGAATATATTTTGTATAAAAGCTGCGCTATATAAATTTATTATTATTATTATTATTATTATTATTATTATTATTATTATTATTATTATTATTATTATTATAAAATGCACTTGAGTTGCTTTCTTTAGAGTCTTTGCAAACGTGTTAAATATACAAAAAGGATCGACAGGACAGAAAGGAAAGCACACGTTTCTTTACACAGTGGTGGTGGATCTTTCCAATTAAGAGGATGATTTTTTACCGCTACATTGTACAACATTATTGTATATACCTTTCTACTCATCAATTCGAATCATTGAAATCTGAAATCTGAAGACAAACATTTCTGGCTAACCTTAACCCTGAACTTTAAAACTATGTCAAAACTATGCTCGGGCGTCAATCTTCTCACATTAAATTAGTTGTTAAAGGAACAGCATAAACTCGACTGAACACAATTATTATAATGGTTAACCACAGTAACCGATCTGGAGAGGGCTTTGGGTTAAAGCCCCACTCCTCACAAAGAACATAAATTGTTGGTTTTATATTGTAAATTTAAGCGAGGCACATGTAGAAAATGAGTGCAAAAACACCACCCCCACAAATATATGTATAAATATATACCGTGTGAGTCAAAAAAAAGTTCACACCTAGAAAATTGCTAATTATTTTTAAAATCATCTATGAACAGTAAATTATTATACACCTTATGAAAGAGTGTTTTTATCCCAAATCATTTGGTACAATTTTTGTGTGGTACGTGATCATGCTTGGATGAACATGAGGCATTGTTTGCGAGAGTGCAAAAATCGACTTGCGCCAAAGTGATGCCTATAGTATGTATTATGTTGGGATTAGCGGACTGACAGAATGAATTGAATGTATCAAATGAAATGCATTGCATAAAATATGCTTTTTGCAAAGGGCAAAGTCACAAACACCCACACACGCGCACAAAATGTTCGTTGATATTCGATTTTTGATATGTGTGGCATAATTACTTTTGTTAGGTATGTTATTTGGATCTGCAAAAACCGAATTAATACCCAGATCCAATTGTTTTATTCAAACGTCACCAGGGCAACAAAGGAATGAATTTAGATTGCCTGGCAAGGTTTAAAGTGGTCAATGGCACATTGATATTTGCTAAGATCAAGCACAGTTCCCGACAAAAAGGGTTCCCGAATGAAAACTGCATGAACTGACTATCATGAGAATTGTGAGAATTTCAAACCTTTGATGTGAGAATTATGCCTCTTCCAGCTCATGCATTTTTCTGCCGGAGATATTTAAGTTCATGCTATTTCCTCAAACAGTTGAACACAACAAACCTGATACAAAATCGCATTTAAAAACTACAATGCATGTCGCATTGACACGCCATCTATTATTCCATTATAAACTTAATAGAAGATATGGTGTATGATTCCATTTGCATTGAGGTATGCTTCTTTTTGTCATGATTTATGACTTTTGTTTTATTCAGCATGGTTGGTCATAGAGCTTGTTGTTCGCTACAAGTACGACTAAACTAGTGACCCGTGAGATAACATAGGATTTATAGAGACCAGTGTTTTTTCATAGTTTCACAGGGGTCCCGTCTACTACATGGCGGGGTCAACATGGGGGGGGGGGGGGTTCGCTGCCTCACCCCCTCTTATTGAAACGAATTTTTACCAAGGCGCTACGTGTTATGCTACAGAGATGTCATGGACTTTTGCGGTTTCAATCCCCCCCCCCTCCCCATCCACTACCACACCGACCACACGACCCCGCCCCTCACTACCCATCGGTAGTCAAGCAACTCTGAATCAAGTCCATGTTTTCGGTAAACCAGCGCATCAGGATGAACCACGAGAAATTGTATGCTAGCACATTACATCAAATGTGGTTGAAAGTATTGTTATATGCTTATGGACCTGCGTCAAATTTGTTTAGAAATTACAAGTGTAAACGTGTGGTGCTGCATTGGCAAAATGATAATGGACCCATCATAAAATACACCACAGGCCACAACAGCTTTGATGTTGTCTGTTTCACTTTAGAGAAGAGCTGCCTAGCGAGGAGGGCTGAATTTACGTCCCCTAATCCCCTCTCCATTGAATGACGAACAGAGAGCGGGAGTTAGAGAGAGAGAGAGAGAGTCAAATAGACAGATAAACAGAGACAAAATGATGGAGAGCGAGAGAGAGAGAGAGAGAGAGAGAAAAGGGAGAGAGAGGGAGGGAGAGAACTGAGAGAAATAGAGAGAGAGATGGAAAAGGGAGAAATACGATACCCTCCCATACCCCTCCTTCGATGGCCTTGTTCCCTCACATTGCCGCGCCCCTATTTTTTTCAATAGGGCCATCCAATACTTAGGCCCCCATTCGAGTAGTGAGGCGCCAGAATATGCAATCTTTATACCCTGTTCATTTTGACTACCAAATATATCTTTTGCAATGATATAGTGGTACACTGGAAACGTGGGATTGGGGCGCGAGGCGTCACCCCCCCCCCCTCCCCTGGATGACGATATGCCTATACGCTTATTGTATTACAACAATTTGATAGACGACGGACTTGTGTAGAATACATGGAATTAAACGAGCAGGATATTGGATGATGACATCGGACTAAAAAGCAATCAACAAATAACAAAAGTACATACATGACGAATGAGCATGTCGATTGACTCTGACCAAACATATTAGATTTATTACTTGGATAAATAAACATCATTTAAAGATTTCAATTTTGAATGGTTTAACTTCTTTTATTGTGGTTATAACGCGTAGATAGATTGTCAAAATATAAAATGAAACTTCTCCAAGCGTTAATAATAAATACTACAAGAAGAATAGGTTATTTAATAAATCTCTGGAAATAATACGATTGATGAAAATAGAATTATAAGCAATTTAACGCAACTATCTACGGGGCCGGTGTATGGTTACGTGCCAGTGGAGCGAGTAATGTGTCAGTTCACCAATACGAGTTTATATTTTGGAAATGCTTTCCTGTTATTGTTAAGCCGGTCCTGTTGCCAAACGTGTGAATTTAGCACAGCGTTTAGACGATAAGAGGACTTTTTCACAACATAAGTTAGGTTAATGAAATCATCACCCCATAACTTTGGGGACAAAGTCAAGAGATTGTATCTGTCGAAGCCTCAATGGAACATTTCAGGCATTTCAGCTTCTAGCATTTGTTTGTTTTGTTTTGTTTACATGTTAGAATCATCAACCTGAAAATCTAGAGTAAACAGCATAATCTCACAGGGGAAATTTAAAAGCAAGCGTACTCCATTTGAATATTTAACGGGTATTAAGATACGTTAATGAAGTTTCATTGAAAAAGGGGCTTGACGCATTCAAAATTAGAGGTATAGCATATTTGGGGATCCGTTCAATTCGAACTGGCTGAAAGACAGTCATTTGGGCTAGAAATGAGTTACCGTAAATAAATTCAATTCAATTCAAGGTTTTTCTTCGAGTAAATGGGCTATGCCAACTCCAAAAACTAATGCCAATGGCGTGTCAATAAAAGGCAGTTAAAGGCCAAATCTATGTAGGATATTCACGAAATGACATCGATTTTTCTCCAGTCGGACAAGCACTAATTCACCAGCACAAATGCTAAGACAAATATATGCATAAGTGGGTTCTCTTTAGTATTATACTGTGAAAGAAATTTTACATTATTGTGTATCAAAATTGCGCATGTTTTTATTGTGAAATCTTACTAGCATGGTATAAGGTAAAGTGAATATAGTTTAAATGCCTCAGCAGAAATATTATGGTTTAAACAGAACTTTATTTTAAGAAAGAAATTGGTGTTCTTTAAGAACTGTTTTCAAAGTGGTATTGTGTATGTTAAAGAATATATTTATTGATTTTAAAAATTAACTTTATTTTCATTATTGCAAAGTTGAAACTTTGATTCGACAAGGTTATCAAAATTCAATGCTTGGAAACATTCGAAGTAAAGATTATTATAAATTACAAAACACTTAAATACAGCCCCGGCATAGCACCTGAGAAGATCTCCGAACGCTGCTGAGATACGTGACATCACAGTATGGACATGTTTTGCACAAGCAGACGATGTCCCATGACATCTCACACATTTTCAGTGCCTGTGTTTTCATCTTCTCTTGAGTTTTTTCTCTTACTTCACATACCGTCAGGCTAAATGTATAATCTATTGCCTCACTCTAAACCCCGTGCATGGTTTTATTTTGATGACAAATGCAGCGATACAAAAATAAAGGGATCTGTCGCTTGTAAACAAAATAAGACGCCATTATATATTCATCTGCACCCACCGCGGTATGTTCGGCGTTTCAAGAGGGAACAAATGTCGTCCTTAATATCATTTCGGGGTTTTTTCAATTTGAAAGTCTGGTTTCTTTGATTGTTAATTATCCCTTAGCCTGTGTATTTACAAGCAAAAGATTTTAGTTATCAGAATCGGGTCTTATCCACTTTTGAATGGCTTGACATGACATTACTTTTAAATACACTAAACTCATTATAATTTGACAAATAATAGCTTTGAAATTATGTTCATTCTCTATGGAATGTCGTCTGCTTGGGCAGTATTGGTCTATATAGTGACGTCATTAAAACATCGTTATTTTTCCGGCGAATCTCTCGTATATCCCAGCTGCTATGGAGGTGGTTGTATTTGTATTTTTATAAATCACCCGATATGTAGTTGACCTAAAACTTGTACGATGACCATCTGTTAGCTTACCAGTTTCTAGTGATACATTAGTTCACATATTTGTGATTTTCTTTGAATTTCACCTTTAACGACATTTTTTTTAGAAACGGTACATTTAGAAGTAGTGCTCAAATTAAATTAGGGGAAAAGCAATGTATTGTTTGACCTTGCAAAACTTAAAAAAAGCGATTCCAAAACAGTTGCGTACCAGAGGAAATAACTCTCCATTGAAAAGAACAAATTTACTAATTCCAAGAATTCTTATTAGAAGGTAGAATAAAAAATACAACCGTATGAGTTAACTGGTAAACGTTACTATGGCATGCTACGCCTAGATCAAGATGCCCGGGGGAGGGGGGGGGGGGCAGGGTAGGTTCTTCTGTGATAACAAAATATAACAATATTTCTGTATGAGAACATTTCTGTTGTTTATTTCGAAACCTGTACACACTTAAGAATACTTTAAATGTCATATTATTTAGAAAGACAAGAAAACTAAAAGCAAATTGTCGTCATTTTAAAATGCATGATTGTCAGGAAGTAGCTTTAAAACTGTAAATTAAAAAAGACGTCAATACCCCCCCCCCCCAAAAAAAAAAAAAAAAAAAAAAGAGGTCCTGTATTTTTACACGACACTAATATGAAAATTCACAATACAAACACAGTCAAAAACATTCCTATCATTTCATATAATTCATCTTTAAAGCACAGTGAATTCCTTTCACATTTGATAATAAAATGATATACCAGAGAATTTATATGTGCATTAAGTCAAATAATTCAACATCAACACTCAATTAGACAGTGATTTTATCAGACGATCTAGGGAGAATTTTACATTTTACCAACCTTCCTGAAACTGGGCTTCTCCACTGGCCAAGCAGCACACCAAGACGGCAAAAAGACACCGAACTTCATATTCCTTCCTTCCTTCCGACTATTCCCTGTGGTGTATTCAAGCCGTAACCGGTTCATGATCAATGAGGCCTTGTCCCCCGCACGAACAAACGCCCGAACACCGCCTCACGCAACTACTCCTGTCGTATCTTCGCAAAGACTCTAGAGAAACGCGGCGACAAGGGCGTTGCTGCTGTGTCTACCAATCTATGAAGCTCATTGCCTCTACATACACATATCCCAATCCTAAGCGAGATGTTTGCATTAAATTCGAAGTGAAGCCTGAAGGTGGCTTATTTCTTACTTCAACTTTCTCCGGGGAAGTTCCCCATTCAAAAAATGAAACTCTCCACTCGTATGTAGTCCTGAGAGAAATCGGAAGGATGTCTTGCGGTGCCTTTGCTTGGGTTGACTCTGCAACACTCTAGCTGGTATTTTTCACACTACTTGTATTGTATACTCAACATCGGAAACAGCAATCAGTCGGCCGTAAATAGTACATTGCTCTTGCTCAATTCACCTCAGCTCACGGATGATCACACAAACACAAACAGCTTCCAATCAGTCAATCACAATATCATATTTGCCGTACCGAAGGATTGTATTCGCGTATTTCCATACAGGAAGAAGATGAGTTGGATTTGAAGTTGGTTTCGCCTTTATTCCCATTTCTATACAAACATATGAAATGAAAAGGGAGTTCTGCGAGCTGTTTTCTGAAGTGTTCGAAAAAAAACTTGCAGGGAAGTTTCATGCGAAATGATTTTGATGAAGATATCAATAGGCTCAGCGTTAATATCATGTACGACAGTTTCTCAAACCGTATATTTGAAGCCAAAAGGGTATTAACTCATATCATTGTACACAGAGTTTCTCATCTTCCGGCTCTAAAACATTATTTTAAGGACATTCGATTTTTTTCCCGAATATCCCCCCCCCCCCCCTCCTAGGTTGCATCATTTAAAGTTAATCCAAATGAGCATGATACTCGCGCCAGATCGACATGCTCTCGTCACTTTAAAAAAAGGTCAATAATCAAAAGGGTGATTTCAGGCGGAATAGATCTACTATTAATAGTGGTGGCTTATTACATGTTTAACGCACATGTCAGTCACGCCGTGCGATGCTCTTGGGGCTCCAACATGATAACCCCAGTCATAATATTAGCAAAGCGCTGTGGCCATTATGTCGCGCTCTAGCATATTATCTGGTACCCATTAACACCTGGGTGGAGAGTGGTAAATGTGGATTAATGTCTTGACAAAAAGTGTTAGTGCAAGGCCGGGATCGATACCATAAACCCTTAGATCGAGAGTCAACTGAATACCACGAAACTTCTACTACTATATCCAACTATGTTTTAAAACTGAAATTAGTTATTCATTCCATAAATCCTATCAAACGTTCACTTCCACTTTAAAGTAGATATTCATGGATTTTAAAAACTAACTTTATTTTCATTATTGCAAAGTTGAAACTTTGATTCGACAAGGTAATCAAAATTCAATTCTTGGAAACATTCGAAGTAATGATTATTATAAATTAAAAAACGCTTAAACACAGCCCCGGCATAGCACCTGAAGAGCTCTCCGAACGCTGCTGAGATGTGTGAGATCACAGTATGGACATGATTTGCACAAGCAGACGATGTCCCATGACATCTCACACATTTTCAGTGCCTGTGTTTTCATCTTCTCTTGAGTTCTTTCTCTTACTTCACTACCGTCAGGCTAAATGTATAATCTATTGCCTCACTCTAAACCACGCGCATGGTTTTATTTTGATGACAAATGCAGCAATACAAAAATAAAGGAATCTGTCGCTTGTAAACAAAATAAGACGCCATTGTATATTCATCTGCACCCACCGCGGTATATTCGGCCGTTCAAGAGGGAACAAATGCCGTCCTTAATATCATTCCGGGGGGTTTTTTCAATTTGAAAGTCTGGTTTCTTTGATTGTTAATTAATCGCTATCCTGTGTATTTACAAGCAAAAGATTTTAGTTATCAGAATCGGGTCATATCCCCTTTTGTATGATTTGACATGCCATTACATTTATATACACTAAACTCATTAGAATTTGACAAATAATTGCTTTGCAATTATGTTCATTCTTTATGGGATGTCGTCTGCTTGGGCAGTATTGGTCTATATAGTGACGTCATTAAAACATCGTTATTTTTCCGGCGAATCTCTCGTATATCCCAGCTGCTATATGGAGGTGGTTGCATTTGTATATTTATAAATCACCCGATATGTAGTTGACCTAAAACTTGTACGATGGCCATATGTTAGCTTACCAGTTTCTAGTGATACATTAGTTGACATATTTGTGATTTTCTTTGAATTTCACCTTTAAACAGTCAAACATAAAGTTAATCAGAGATAAATATGTATTTAGATGCTTGAAATATTGTTGTCTTGTTTATCCAGGTTAGCCTCATCAGTATTAATACTGTTCTCCTCGAGGGCACTGCAATCAAATTATTACCCCGGCCTTAGCTGAGCTATACCATTAAAAGGCGCTCAAGCGTAAGGTGCAAAAGCTAAATTCATTTCTTTTAATTATCTTCAAAATGAACTTTGATTGAGGGGTGCAAATATAAAATCGTCAGAAATATGAAGTTTTATTGCTTGTCATAATCAAGGCACGTAACAGACTACAGCCTTTCACATATAACAGAACACGATCAAGAGCGGTTTGTAAAGCGACGATCGAGAAAGAAACATAATTAAGAAGCCCTTAAGGGCAAACTAGGTGGGTGAATATTATCATCATCTTCGGCGCTTTTAAACTTTATATTAGGTGAATAGAAATATTTCACCGTTGACCTCAGACTCAACCGTATTCTGTGACCCTACTATATTTAGATGGTGTTCAATAGCTATAATGCAATCTCCCCCTCTCTCTCTCTCTCTCTCTCTCCCTCCCCCCCCTCTCTCTCTCTCTCTATCTCACTCCCTCTCTCTCCCTCCGCCTCCCCTCCACCTGTCTATATGTGTTCCCCTCTCTCCCTTTCTTCTTTGCTCTTCTATTCTCTATTTCTTCAAGGGTTTGTGGTTTTGCCTTGCTAAAAGTTAAAACTTTTGTATTGTATTGTGTCTCCCCGGATTTTCTCCTTCAAGTTCCTATATTCACGTTCATCTCTATCAAATATCTTATATTACAACTTCCAGTGTACCCTCGTATACGAATTAACCGTATGCTTGGTTTGATAACGTTAATTTATTACACGATCGTGTGAAAGAGCGTGTCAGTCTTATGAATATTACGTTTACATATTCACTATTCAACAAATAACAGGGTTACGAAGGAGTGTACATCAATTGTACCACAAATCCCCTGTTTGAGGTTTGTCTTTCAAATATGACATTCTTGCGTGTAATTGGTATGCGCCTTTCATTCTTTCCCCTTCATATTCATAAACAGAAACCCGCCGAGTGCCATAATCTGACAATGGTGACGGTTTCAATATGGGATGAAAAGATATCTTTGGCCGAGATTACCCAAATTGAATTCCGAAGGAAATTCAGTAAAGAATAAAACATCTCCCCCCCCCCCTTTCAGGGTGTGCCATTTCATTCACTTCGGGTCATGTTTGATATTCCTTATTATTGTTCTTATTAATAAGCCTACTCTTTATTGATTTTTCTTCTATTAAAGTCGGAGATAATCTGTTTATTATTACAGAGATTTTGTTGAACGCGACAAGAGTGCGTGTCAATATTTTTAGTAGCGACCTCAATGATAGTTCTTGGAACATTTTTTAAAAATTTGTGCGTGGGCGTGTGTGCATGAGGACATATATGTGTGTAATGTGCGGGCGCGTGCGTGTGCGTGTGTGTTGGTGAGAGTGGGAGTGATGGTAATACCTGCTTGACATGTGATTAAATAGACCATTAAGCTGAAACTCAGAGCATCCTTAGTACTAGATGTAGTAGGCCCAAGCTGAAGTACTTTTTCCATACAGTAGCATATACAGCATTGCGAGGTCGGGCGATGCAACATTCAGTCTCCCTCTTCACACACTCACTCATGAAAAAATATTAATGAATAAAAGCGATTCAAACGAGTCAAATAATGGCCTAAGAAGCACTACACTTTATTTGCTCCAATACCAACTCTCAACAATGTAGAAGATATGAATATTCAACAACAAAATATGCATATTCATAACAAGATAGACTAGAGCCGACGTAAATATAAGCTGGCCCCTTCCCGTTTGACGCCCCCCCCCCCCTCCTTCCAAAAAAAAATTTGCTACGGATTTCCAGCCTTCTAGAAGGGATTTGTGGATAAGCCACTGGACAAACAATTTATATCAACAATTTGGAGCTCATCATTGATTATACTAATCCCATGTCAGACCCCGTGTTCTTCTATCTTTGTCGAGTAAAGCATTGTCTTGTCCCTTTCTCGTCTCTGTTGGCATCCCCCTTTTTCTTTCCCCTATTTTGTAGTTCCTTTTGTAGTTACGGATTAGTTGATTTAATAACTCATTATTCCTAAGTATCATTTGAGGTGTTCACACTTGTACAAGCATTGCTTTTTAGTGGACCCCTCTGTTTCCAACATGTATTTCTTACATTTGTTTTAAATGCTTATAACTGATTTGTAATGTTTTGTTGGAAACATGAATAAATTTGGAATTTGAATTTGAAATTTAAGTGGCAGTAAGGAATCAGAGCATCATCCTGTTCATTCAGCACTTGTTTTGATTTTGTAGAGGAGAAGAAGGGGGAGCTTTGCCCTGTAAATTGACAGGGGTGTAAGCAAATTCGTTTATCTGTGATAGAGAAGCCTTTCCCCTTAACATACAAGAACCAAGCTGTATGATTCCAAATTGATTTTGGGGTCGTATAATTAGAGCGATCTCACTCTCCCTCTCTCTTTCTCTTTACTCTTTTTTTTTTGGAGGGGGGAAATGCCCCCCGTGCCCCCCCCCCCCCCCCCCGTGGCTACGTGCCGGCTCCTGACTATTCAAAAATCTAGAATCACTTGTTCGTAATTTGTTCAATATGCCAGTAACACTGTTCCAGTTAAGGATTCACCTCTCTCTCCCCCCCCCCCCCCAACGAAATTCTGCTGTACTTTTAAACATTCTTGACTTTGTGCTAACACTAACCCTAAACCCATCCCCTTTGTTGTTGTTGCTCGTGAGAGATTGTTTTTTCGGGTTGAGTGTTTTTTCTTTATTCTCTTCAGATATTTTGGAAAGTTTGCGCCTCCCACCTGTGTGCCATCCACGCCAAGAGAGTTACCATCATGCCCAAAGACTTACCATCATGCCCTTCACCTCCTCTTACAAACATTCCCCAATCTGCAAACGCTACTTTATAAACTTTAAACCTTCAAACCTTTATACCCTTCTAACCATAGTGTTCATGGAATAAATCGATGGAAACCTACATGGCC